GGTTTCGACATATTCGCTCAGTTGGGGGAAAAAATCAAGCTTCTTCAGGAAGGGCGATTTCGACAGATTACTGTAGCTCAGTTGGGGTGTCTTATGGCAGGATGAAATCCAAAGCAATGCACATCTCAATCCCCGACCGCGTGACAAGCGGCCAGTGTTGGCTTCTGATGTTGTCTAGGTCCCCCAGCCAGGTGCCCTTCTCTCCCCTTTTTTTGGGGGAGATTCGGTCCCCCTACAAAAATTGACTACAGAAAACAGTTGGTACCCTGATTCTAACCTCTGTACTGGAGGACCTGGTTGTTTTCTGCGTCAACCGGCGTATGTTCTCCCGTAGCACCGGTAGCCAACTTCATCTCGTCTTCCGCACGGGGGTTGAATTGCATGCCTTGGATGGCACCATTTAGAAACACCCAAAGCTCTAGGGGTTGATTCCAACCATTATTTTCAACCATCAGTCTTTTCAAAAACCAGCTGTTTCCCCTAAAATTCTGATGGTTTTCTGAAAAGAAGGATCCCCGGAAAGAATGGGGAAGTGTCCCCTAGAATTAGCAACAAGGCTATTCGGAAGTTGCCCAACGCGTAGTCCCGTAGGTGTTGGTTGTGGTACCAGGGTGTGCTACACAAACCCTTAGATTCCGGTATCCCCGCTGGGCGACACCGAGACCGGGTTTCCGTGCGACTCCGAGACCGAACTGTTCGCCGGATGATCTACTTGAGCAATGGACGATATTCCCGCAATGGTTTTGGGTGGGCCATCGGTTTCTAATTTGGTGACTTGATTGTGGCTTTCTTTCCCGCTGCCTGCAACCAACATATCTTCAAGCCAAAGGCTTTGAAGCCCAGAGATTCCCACAAAGCGTCGCCACGAAACCGAGAGAACCTGCCATGCGCTGTGCCAATGAGGTTGGGGCCGCAACTCCTCCGGACCCGCAAGCGGTTGTCTGGAGGGCGTTCTATTGCGAAGGTCACCCTTGTCCAGTCGAAAATCAATGCCCTCCCTCAAGAGGGGCCCAAAAAAGCAGAGGATGTCCTGCTGTCTCTACAGCCTTCTAGACAAGCCCCGGCGTGTTGCCTTGCCAACAGTGAGTTGTCCTGCAGGAGGCTTGACTTGAGCCCCCTTCAAATATCTGATATTTTGCAAAAAAAGAAAGAAACAGAAAAACAGGGGCACCGTGGGACCAGCTCCGTAAACTTTTCTCTGACCGTGAGGATATGGAGCAAGGGTCAGGCTCGAAATGACTGGATGCTTTTGGATTCTAGACTACCGTGAAAGGCGGATTGGAGAAGCCGCCGTGAATTGGTTTCACAGCACGACATTCCGGCGCTAAGCGTGTGTTGTAAATAGAAATTGGGCCGCCCGAACTGGTTGGTTTCTTTCTGGTTGTGGGTTTTCTTTGTTCAAACAACACCCAAAGAAAGGAACAACACGGAAAAGAAAGGGCTCGTCACATTTGCACTTGTTCAGACTACATCTTGGGAAAACCAGTGGTCCTTAATCTTATTTTTGTTCACGAGTCCGTTTACTGGTAGGCCGTTCTTCCCCGTGCATGTTGGAAGGTGACATCAATCATCAGCAAGATCAGATTGCAAGCCTAACTTGGAACAGCCCAGAAGCGGTCACCATGACATGAGTCAGCTGCCCAAAAACGGGGCCAGGGAAGATCCCTGATTAGAGAAGCGCGCTGCGTGAAAGGCTGTTACAAGTGGCGGCTGCTCCAACAAAAATGTCACTTGATCAGCTTTGAAAAGATGCAGGATGCAGTATGTGGGGAGCGCAACAATGATGGGGTGCCTGCTTGAACCAACAACATGGTTTGTAGCTTCCCTTAGCCGATGTATGGGTTATCCGTCTGAAGCCATAAATGTTACCCCTTTTCTTTCTTCCTTATCTCTTCCCTCTCTCCCCTCCCTTCTCACCCCTTCCTTCTCTCCCTCACCCCTCCACTCCGCGGCTTTCCGGCTTCGTGTTTGTTAGGACGTCAAAACAGTGGCGATCCGCGAGTTGAGGCCGCGCGTTGCTTCCCGGTTGCGTCTGTCCGAGTCGAACCCAGCGGGGGTTTGCATGGCAGGAATCCGCTCCCAAGGCGGGCTCATCTTAGGACACCACTGCTCATATGGGGTCGGGTTATTGTAATACACCCTCGGAATACTCTGGGTATTGAGCCCACTTAGGCACATCTCCGGATGAGACCGCGCTATTTTGAACCATTCTGGGTCATTTCCCCTGGGTGCAATCCCAGGGATGCCAAAAACCCTCAGATTGGGGGGGGGGGGCATTTCTTCGCAGGGGCCATATCGCTTTTTTGGGGGCCGGGGTGGGGGGGCACCCTGCGAAAGATCACAAGAGAGTAAGCGGGTCTCATAGGCGCTGCCCCACTTTTACGATTATCAAAAGTCGCCGCTAAGTGGGAGGTTGCAGGGAAACGGTCTCAGTTTCTGGCTTTACATCATTCGAACCAGTCAAAATGATGAGCTTAGATGATGTGATCCCTTTGCAAGCCAGAAGGATCTTCCTACTACTGTGTTCACCTCACACTGTCCAAACGAGTATGTGACACAGCTAACGCCACGCTTCGAGCGCCCGGGGGGGGGGGGGTCAAAATGAAATCAGCGAGAAACTCTGGTGATTCACATATGTAATGTAATGTAATGTAGTGTAGTGTAATGTAGCGAAGAGTGTAGTGTAATGTAATGTATTGTATTGTAATGTAATTTAATGTATGTAGGCATGAATGTATGCATATATACATATATGAATGTTTACTGTGCGGGTTTTGTAAGCAAGCTTTCCAGAATTTCAAGCAAAGCGTTTGCAGGTGCCATTTTCGGCAGTGGCGAATGCCAGGCCATCAAAGATCTAGAAGTGGAAGCATCATGTGACGTCTATGATTTGCTACAGTGGCGGTAGCTGGAAGCCTAGGGCCCTATTTGGCTATGGGGTTGGTGAGCTCTTCGCAACTAGCGTGTGGAAGAGCTGAGGTGCCATGCATGTGAGAATGTGGTCCACTTCGAGCATGGGGGAAAAGGTCAATCAACCATCGGACGTTCCCAACAGAATGGCCATGTGAAAGAAAAGCCAAAGACCAAATTGCCAGAGAAAGAAATTGGCTTTGTTCCTAAACGAAATCCAAATTGATGTGTTGATCACGCTGGTCCTGGTTGAACTGCTTTCTTAGGAGAATGCTTGAATCCCCAAGTGTGCTCTAAGCATAGGTGTCCTTTTCAGGTGAGTTTGGTTTAAAAATCGATATGAGGTTTGTTCCATTTACCAGGCAAACCCGTTTATTTTTCCAAAAGGCCACCTATGGCTCGAAGTGCCTCTTGGAGGCATGCCCAACTTGTCGTCCGCCCGTCGCCAGGCACTTTGAAGAGTGACGCCTGACACGGACCGGAACAGGTGAGCAGCACCCAAGCCCAAAGGGGCCATCTGAGTTGGTTCTACTAGCCATACAAGCCACTCACTTGTGAAAAGTCTTGGTCAGCTTTTGGGGCGCTGCTCAGGTGTGTATAGCTGCCGTATGCTGCCGTACCGCCTTTCGTTGCGGATTCCGCGCCTTACGGCCCGATTTTCGTTTTCTGCAGCGCTGACGCTGCACCATCTCTCTCCTTTTAACCTCGGCTTGGAGCAAGCCTCATGGATTCTGGGCCTCGGCCGTCGATTCGACTTGTCAATAGGCTTCAGACGAAAACAAGTTCGTGTCGCAGGGGCCCATGGCGCGTATTCAGAACACGTGGATGTGAATACAAGGATCTTGGTTGCAAAGATGGTTCCAACTAGGCACATTTTTGCCCAAATGGCAGATTCCCCACTCAACTGGACCAACCAAAAACAATATATTATATTCCTGTTACCCATAAGAAAAAGAACACTGCGCAAGAGAGCTGTCGGAAGAGTTTGGGGATTATTCAACATGTTCTGGCCTGCTTGTTGGTATTGAAGGCTTTTGTCCAGGATGTTGTCCTTCCGATTGGAGGGACAGGGTCCATGGCCTGTTTCGGGGTTGCCTAGGGGGTTGCCTAGGGCTTGCGACAAACCACGGTTTACAAATCCTCACAGTGACCAAACGCAGGCAGTTCAACTTGAAGTCGAATAGTCACGGCGTTCAAGATGCAGTCGGGGTTTCATGGTTTCATATAAACAACCAGAGCGCTGCCAGGACCCCCCCAGTGAGGTTCAATGTTGGTGGGTGGGAGGGCAATTTCATGGTTGTTGTTGGGAAACATTTTACATTGTTGCTTATTGTGGTTAGTGGGAAATCCCCACTTAACTGTTAAAATATCATTTTTTGCTCCCCTTCCATCGTCAACCAAGACCAATGGTGGCAGGTTGCACTCAGACCTCCCTGCCACTTCCCGGAAGTTGGGACACCTATGAGTCCGACATGGGCGCTTTGACCGAAGGTATTGTGCAGGAAGGACAGCGCCCAGGTGCAGGATCCGACACCTGCTCCGGCATGGTGTTTGTGTGCCCTATTGCACAGTTGACACATCCAATGGGCCTCTTGAAGCCCATTGGATTGGCCGTGGCCCGAACCTTTAAGTGCCCGATCATTATTGTGAGCAGGACAACCAGAGGGAATGCATTTGCCCAGGCGCTTTGAAGGTCACAGAGATTCCTAGAGGTTCTAATTGGATGTCTACAAGATGACCAGAGGCTCTCGTCATTCCTCCTTTCCCCCGGCTTGCAACTGGGCAACTTACAAGGTCCCTCTGAGCGGATTGCAGGCGGATTGCCAATTTGCTGAATTGGGATTTTCTCCTGATGCTTTGTAAGAATTGCTCGCACGGCTGACATTTGTTGATTGGGGTAGCTCTGCAACGGACAGGGGAATCATAGGTAGCACCAGGAGCCAGATTGGGAACCCTCAACATATGTTCTTCTTCTTCGACGAGAAATGGCCGCCCAAGAATCCACAAGAGATACCCTCAGATTGATTGAGGAGTCACCAATGTGGTTGCAATGCCACCAAGGACAACCCCAAAAATGGAACACAACCTGCAGCATTTGAGCTCGGGGTGCAGCTCAGCCACGATGCCATGCGCCTGGGCTTGCAAGACGTGATGCGATGACCCCACTTGGTCCAAGAGGATTCCCTGGGCCGATGACCAGGCTTCCGCCATTTACCCTCCCTCCAACGTTGTCATGGCACCTCACAGAGGGTTTTTCTTCAGGAGCAAATTGATCTTCCAGGTACCCGCCAACAGGTGCTATGTTAGTGAGAGAGAGGGCAATTCGTTTGCCCCGGCCAGACTTTTGATGTTGTGTTAGATAATTCATATCAGGAGCACTGTTCTGGACCCCAATAAGAAGGCAGGCTACCGTTGGACATTGATACATTTTGTTTTACAACTCCCCAATTCTCTTCAGTGAGTAATGTTAACCCCGGATGAATAAACCCCACTTTATTAATAGGCGTATGTTCCCCTCCAAAAGTCTTGATTCCCGACTAAACCCAGAGACACCCCCTTATTTGCAAACTGGGGTTGAGAAAAACACAGGGGTCGACATGTCGCAAGGCTTCGTTCGGGTTCCGGCATGGAGTCGGGAACGGGTTCCGGGCTTTCTTTTTGGACCCCAAAGTTGCAAGCGGGAAGTTTAGTTGGTACCCCTATTCTAACCTCTCAAATCTGGAGGACCTAGTCACTTTTCGCCGGGGAATCAGAACACGGCGAGCCCAGGCTATTCTAGCCCAACACAATCGCAAACAATCCATACCCAGGTTTGACAGGGAAACACATTCATTAGAGCAAAGCCTAACTTTGCAAGGGTGAAATGGCGGAAGCTTTCTCACTTGGGAATCTTGTGTTTCAGTCTGGCGGGTTCCTGTGTCTAATTCACAGATTCACGAGTGCTGTGTCTTTGGAAGCTGAGGAAGTACATGGACGCGGGGCAAGTTATAATCCGCAAGACATTTGTTTCAGGTAATTAGCTTGCTTGGCCTGGGTGTTGCTTAAAACTGTATCCATGGACGCCAAAATGAAGCCAATTTCGAAGCTTTCTTGCTTGAGGACATGCCTGAATGGGATCATTTCTAAATTATTTGATCCCTCCAAAAGCTGCTTTCTTCTGGCTTCTCTTTTAAAGCAACCAAAAGGAAGGGTACCATCAAGAAGGACAAAGCTATCCACAACACATTATATATATATATTAACATATGTATGTATATGTTTACATATGTATATATATATATATGTATATTGTTAAACTGAATGCTACCTGATTGCCTGATGTGAAAGACCTGTGATGTGTATCAGCGCGGCTGTGGTCGCTCTATTTTGTCTGGGCAGATTGTAGGCTCAAGGCCTTGACATGTACAGCCACGGTGAGACCAAGCTGTACTACCGTGACATGTATCCAAGGGCATGTATACTCTTAACACGCCTCCTTAGAGTACAGTGTTTCAACTGTATCTCTAAAATGTATTGCATGCACAGTCATGACCTTGTGGTTCGGGATGATGTAAAACTCATCTGAGAAAACTGCTCGCCAGATTACAGATTGTTTGTACATCAATGTCCCTTGTGGGCGGTCAGGAGCTTGTGCTCCAAACTCGTAGCTGAGTCCGGTGCGCCACATGGGCCCAAAATTGTACTTCTCTTGTACAACCATCTCAGTTGTTTTCCTCTTGAATTCACTTGCTGTGCATCATCTTGTAGCCATTGTGTTGTGACAGAATCACTGCGCTGTCCACTTCTCGCATGCATTGATCGCTGTAGCCAGCTGTCCGGGGGCCAAAATTGTAGCATCTCCTGCCAGCTGCAGCTTGTTCTCCAAGATGTAGTGAAAGAGCCTTGTGCGAAGTGGCTCTGGCACCGCTTGTATCGAGGCATATGTGTACTGGGTGATGGCCATGGAGAAGCAAGCCTGCATGTTTCCTGTCGAACTTGTCTTCGACGTCCAACATCTGTTCGATGTTCAGGATGATGTGCTGTAGCACCATGTAACCATTCTCCAGGTTGTAGCTTCGGTACAAATTCCTGATGTCGCCACTGATGCGGAAAAATGTGCCGGTGTTCCTCTCAACCTCTGTCATGATCCGGGTGTGATGCTCATGTAGCTGTAGGCACAAGTCCGATGTAGCCGCGGTTGAAGATTGAAATTTTCTTCTCGTACACACGCTGCAGGATTTCGGCTGTATGCAGCGAGACGCGGTAGATGTAGCAGTTGCTCATGTCATCTGTGCTGTCATGGCCACTGTGGATAAGCCAACTCATGTATCCCACAGCGTCCATGATGCTGTAGAACATGCCAATAAAACCAAGTGTAGGGGCACGCATGTAGCCGGGGATCTTGTCGACTCTGTGCGCCTCCTTGGCAGCCACCGTTGTCATGAACTTGGCCTGTTCCGTTGTAAGCGGAATGAGCACGGTGGTGTAATCGCTTGGTTTTGAGGAGCGATGTAGGCAGGGTTTCCCTCTGTAGGCTCCAGTGTAAAACCATCCGGTACCACCATAGGCTGATGGATGGACTTGTACGCACGATGAGCCATTGTTGACCTGGCAATGTATCTCCCTCTAGCTGTACAAGACCGATGTAAATGGCTGCAGTGATGAAACATGTGTTCAAGCTTTTGTCAAGCTGTCAAGTAAAACCGTAGTCAAGAGATTGTAGTGCAAAAACAAGGTCGTCTGTTGTACCCGAAAGAAAGTTAGAGTAAAAGCGCAAGGGGTAGATCCATGGCAATGTAACTACCCTAAAAGTGGTTTAGCCGGCTGACATGTAGTGAAACGAAAGTGCGTGACCTGTGCAACTGATGTTTAAACATACTGTGCAAACTTTGCAGTGCAGACTGTGGGTGATACTTTTGTCATTGATGTACTTGTTGGTGTCAAGGTTGGCTGGGCAAGCCTACCTTGTACAGGTGTCTGAGGAGTGTGTCGGTTGGGACAAACTTTGTCAGTATGTCCGAGGGGTTGTGTTCCGACCTTATCTTACACATTGTGATGACCTTGTTCTTGACTAGTTGTTGCATGAAAAGGTACCGTAGTTCTATGTGCTTTGCTTTCTTTGATGTACCTTCTCTCATGGCTATTGAGTTAGTCCGTATGAATTCTGATGTTGGTCTTTGTGTCCAAAGCTTCCTTGACGAAGTTGCTGATGTAGATGCTTTCTTGTGCAGCTGTACCAATTGCGTATAGCTCTGACTCTGCTGATGACAGGGCTATTGTTGCCTGTGTCCTGCTTCCGTCATTGTTGTAGTTGCCGTAGCCGCCGTAGCCCTTTCCTCTGTTGTATTTTCCTTTGTTCTTTCCTTTTCCTTTCTTGCCCTTTCCTTTGTTGTACCATGTTGCTCCTATGTCCATTGGTGCTGGACCTTGGTCTCACTGCCTGAGTTCATGAACTTTAACTTTTTGGGAAGACCATTTTAGTGGGAAATCTAAAGTTTGGACTTTTGGGGCTATCCACTCAGCAGGTGAGTGGTTGTCACTACTCGTAGCCGCTTGTAGTTTGACGAATTGTGATGCTGCTCTGTGATACTCCACAACCAGTGATCTGATTTGTGCGTAGGTTCTGATATTGCCTGCTTGTAGTTGCAAATGCTGTTGTAGTGGACCTTTTGTCTCGTTGAGCATTGCAGTCTTGATTGCATCCGGTAGTAGTGTCCTGCTGTCTTGTTCGTACTTGGCCAGTTGAAACTCCCATGTTGTAAAGCTCTCTTCGAACTTGTTTTCGTCTAGTTGTGGTTTGAGTAGCTTGGTGAGGTAACCGATGCTTCTTGTACCAAGTGGCAGTGCGTAGCGTAGGTGTAGTTGTCTCCATGTCTCGAAACCATTGCCGAGCATGTTCTGTCTGCATATTGTTGACGCTGCTCCGTCACATGTGTTGACGAGCAGGAAGTGTAGATCTCCGCTGGGTTGTAGCCATCGGTCTGCTGTGTCCTGATCTGGTGCGGCTTGTTCCAGTTGGTCGCTTGTGATTGCTTGTGCTGATTGTTCCGCTTGACTCAGTAGTCTGTTGTATGATGACTCTTGCAAACCAAGGTATGCTGTCATCTTGTACATCCATTGATCGAATGTGGTGTATTCGCCACTAAATCGTGGTGGTGATATTCTGTACTTGCGGACTCCTGACAGTTGCTGTTGGAGTTGTGCTTGTTGTGCACTCCCCTGTGCCGCCATTGTCACTTACTGTGCTACTGTGCACTTTGGTTGGTTGCATCTTTCCCAGGTGTGGTGATGCTTGTAGTCAGTTGTGCTCCGCTACCATGTTACACTGAATGCTACCTGATTGCCTGATGTGAAAGACCTGTGATGTGTATCAGCGCGGCTGTGGTCGCTCTATTTTGTCTGGGCAGACTGTAGGCTCAAGGCCTTGACATGTACAGCCACGGTGAGACCAAGCTGTACTACCGTGACATGTATCCAAGGGCATGTATACTCTTAACATATATATATATGTATATACGTATATGCATGATGTTCGGTCAACATCTCCAGATGGTCCATTTGGACTCGGGCAGAAAGTGGACCCGCAGATCGGATCAGGATCCAGGCTTCCCATAGCGCCACAGCGCTGGGGCTCCTGGCGGTTTTGCTGCCCCCGCTGCTGCTCCTGGAGCGAAGCGGCGCTTATGGTGGGTTGGTTGGGTGGGTGGTGTTGGTTGGGTGGTTGGGTGGTTGGTTTTGGGTGGTTGGGTGGTTGGGTGGTTGGTTGGGTGGTTGGGTGGCTGGTGTTGGTTGGTTGGTTGGTTGGTTGGTTGGTTGGTTGGTTGGTTGGTTGGTTGGTTGGGTGGGTGGGTGGGTGGGTGGGTGGGTGGGTGGTTGGGTGGTTGGGTGGCTGGTGTTGGTTGGTTGGTTGGTTGGTTGGTTGGTTGGTTGGTTGGTTGGTTGGTTGGTTGGTTGGTTGGTTGGTTGGTTGGTTGGTTGGTTGGTTGGTTGGTTGGTTGGTTGGGTGGTTGGTTTTGGGTGATTGGGTGGTTGGGTGGTTGGTTGGTTGGGTGGGTGGGTGGGTGGGTGGGTGGGTGGTTCGTTGGTTGGTTGGGTGGTTTTGGGTGGTTGGTTGGTTAGGTGGTTGGGTGGTTGGTCGGTCACTTGCTTACTTGGTGTGAGTAGCTCGATCCCGTTTGCTTTGGTTTTGTTGGTTGGTCGAGTGACAGTGCCCCAGACTGAGAAAAAAACACATTTTGTGAAGGTGGTTTGTTTTTGTCGCAATTCCGGAAAATGCCAATGCAAATTAGCCTTCTTTGGCGGACGCGCCCTCCCACAGTAAATCGTTTGGGCATGGTTTTGGCTCATGGGCGCGGATTTGTTGGGCGGTTGCTGGTTGCTTTGTTAGCTGGCGTCTACAAGCACACTGCAGGTGGCCGTAAGCTACTTCTGACACCCGCGTGAGACACGAGCAATAAAGCAGCCCCATGCTCTGTCGATCAAAAACCCAATGTAACATTGGAAAGCAAAAGCCCACAGCCGATCGCTTTGCTATCAATCATATATTTTCTATTAAGCGTCCTTCCAAGCAGAGCTACGCTTGGAAGTGCTGAGCATGTTTTCCCTCAGTACGCGCACTCGCTTGAAAGGCGTCCACTCACTTTGGAAGCTCAAAGCAGCACCAGCTTCCTGCCTGGAGCAAACGTGGGAGTACTAGGCCTTCCCAGCCGGCTGCTTGCCACGTAGCTGCCCCTGAAGGCGAAGCAAGCAAAGCAACAGCCGAGCTACACTGTTTGCCACACAAGCACGACGCAGTTTCTGGAGTCATGCCCCTAGCAATCGACAAAACGACCAACGAAGCGACCCAAAGTGGCCACGGCAAACTGACTGTCTTTGGACACCTCCCTGCCGGCAATGTATCATTTCGGCAGCTGATCTTTGGGCCTTTGGACAGACCTTCGTGCCCATCCCTGCTGAGTTGGGGCAGGTGCAGGTCTCGAGTTCTCAACTCAAACTTGAAAGTGGCTCCGGCTCAGTCCGCCGACATCTCACCCATGAAGGTCTGCCCAAAAGCTTCGTCTCCAATTCTTTTTTTTGATCCATGTCTGGGGGAACTTCTGTGCAGGGAGAGACAATTTCCCCCCCCCAAAAAAATCACATACTTTTGTTGCAAGAAGGTTCCCAGAGCCCTTGTTGGCTGTTGGGGTGGCCCTAGTTGTTCCTCCAAATGGTGATTGTGTTTTCTTCCTGGGGCTTGTTTAGCTCCGGTTCCCGGCTGGTACATCCCCTGTGGATGGTTGCGAAATCCACGCACCACCTGAGAAAGCCTGGAATGATGAATTCGATTCCCCCGTAAATGCCAGCAACATCGGGCCTCGGGGCGCGGGTTGCCGGTTGGCTCTGAGTTGGGCGTTGCTGAGTTGGGCTGGTTCGATTGCGGGCTTCCAGGCTGGCAAAGATCTGACCGAGGGTGGGTCTGGGCTTGTTTTGGGGTTCATTTGGGCTCGAAAGGCTCTTACCACAAGAGTCCCTTAGTTTAACACCCTTTGTGGAACCAAAACGTTGCAAACAGACATCCAGATCCAGCCTGCTGTTGGGCAGGGTGGGTCTGGGTTCGCTTGGAGCTGAATTTGTGTTAGGTGTGCTGCTGGTTTTGCGGTGCCTGCAGGTTGCTTTAGGATGTGGTCACGTGCCAAAATCTAGCATTGTAGACACCCTGGTCACTGGGGAACGCACAGTGACCCAGAGCCTTCTTAGGCTGTCCTCCACAAGCGCCCCCCTCCGCAAAAACCCTGGAGCCTCTATCCGATCCTCGTGTTCGACACGCTGAAAAGTGTCGGCGGATAGGGCGTCATGGCACCGGAAGGCAAAAATTGCTCCACTTCTGACCTTAGCTCTAGGTTCCCCAGCGCAAGGACCGCAAAGTCGCGGCTGCCAGCTCGCCGCTGACTTTCATGGAGTGGCAATATGTTTTTTGCTCAAGCAACAATGGTTTGGAGCATGACACATCAACCAAGAAAGACAGCACCACACTGCAGCCGCGGAAGGTTTGCGGCTGGTTTTTGTTCTGCGAAAGCTCGCAGAAGGGATGTGGTTGATTCGCTCTTTCCAGATGTTCATCATGCTGTCGCGTTTGCTTTGATGAGGGCATGAAAAGGCAGGCACAAAGAGCTGCGCGAGGTTCCATGCAAACAATATTCTGAACTCCCCTCTATTGAATGTCATCCTGCTTGGGGTAAAGCAACGCAGATTCTCCGAACATATACGAGGTTTTCGCAGGTCGAGGAAGGGCGACCCGCAATTTGGGAACAGCTCGGCAAGCGCGCGCACTTGTAGAGCCGCAGGCACGTTGCCGCGCAAGGCTCGCGGAAGCTCACACGGAAGGGGTCGCGGAGTTTGATACGTCCATTTCGATAGAACAAAAGCCACCCCTGAAGTGCATTTTCAGCGAGCAAGGAGAAGACGAAGAAGAACAAGAAAGCACTTTACACAAACCGCGCTGCGCGCCTGCAAAAAATGGCTTTGGAACAGGGCGTGGAGGCCTACGAGTTTTTAGCTTGGTAGACTTGTTTTGGGAAAAGTGCCCATGGTTTCCTGAAAGGTGAGGCCGTAAGTCGCCAGGAGCTCGCTGTCTACGGCATCGTGTTCGTGGCGCTTGCCCTCCTCGTGTCTTTGAGCAACCAAGAGGAGGAGCCAGCAGCTGGGCAAGTCTTAGACAAGCGGCTGGGAAGGACCCCCGAAAAGGTTTGTTTATGTTTGGTGTGTTTTTTTTTGGTTTCGGTTTTTAGAAAAGCATACACCAGCCAAGGGGGCTCCAAACACCACCAAGGTTGGTGTATGCTTTGTTTGCCGTTCTAACAAAATAGCACCAGTAAAGGGGGGCTCCAAGCAAACACCCAGATGAGGTGGGTCATGCTTTTCAGCAGGACAGGGGCCCTTCAAGAGGAGGTTGATGTTCCAGGTAGCCGGCCAATGTTGGCGGGAGGAGGTGTCGTGGAAAGAGCCCTGGTTCCTCTTCCAAAGAAAGGAACGCTATGATGGTAGTTTGTCAGCTTGCAAAGAACAAATTGAATGTGACATTTGCTTCTGGGAAGGGAGTTTCCGATGCACCCGGACAGGCGATTGCTTTTTCCAGGGAGATTGATGCTTGGCCTCTAGGTCCCCCAGTAGTGCCCTTTGACCCCCTTTTTGGGGGAGATTCGGTTCCCCTACTAAAATAGACTACCAAAAAAAGTTGGTACCAACTACTTCCAACCTCTCTACTGGAGGACCTGGGCCTTTTCCCTAAAAAAGCCAACAGAAGATGCATATCAGGTTTCATGTTGGAGCTTGGGGCGTGCACCTCACACTGTGAGGACGCCTGGAAGGAGCTTTGGGGAAGACCATGTCGGTCAATTTGTTGTCAAAAAGTTTGGATTTGTCCCAAGTCGTCCCCTCAAAAAGTGACTTGTCCACTTCCATGCTTTTGTTTGCGGCAGGGAATGATGTTGTTCCCTTGAGCCTTGAGCTCCCTTTCTTCGGTCACCTCAGCTACGGCTCATCGCACTCCTACCCCAACCCCACGCCGCTCAGGAGGGATAATACAAACAGTGTTGGAGCTGTTTTCTTCTTCCCAACCCCGCGCTTAGGAGGACTAGTCTAGATATCTTTGGAGCTTCTACACACCGTTCAGGTTTGGAAGCTCTGCTTGGGTGCTGCGTGTAAGGAGTGCTACTTGGGAGCAGTTTTGTTTACCACCCGGCGTGTTGAAGGGGTGCTACTTTGCAGTTTTTGGCCCCCGATGGCACCCAGGCTTCGAAAGCGGAGCAGTCCAAAGCTGCGGAGCTCTTGCAGCGTTTGCGCCGGAGCAATGCGACCGAGAAGGTCTTGCGCGAGGCGTGGAGATCAAGCATGCAACTGGTGTCCGTTTGACCTTCGGATTTCCGAAAGGATACCAACCTGGGGGTCTTGAACTTTTAGAAACATCCCGTCCATCAATGGCTTTCAAGTCTTTGACACCGCCTGTTTCCTGTCTCTCTTTCGCAGGGCTGCTAAGCGAACTTGCCTGCAAGTTTGTTGCGTGGCGTGCGATTGAGACATGGCCAATGTTTCCTCGCATGCCCAAAACCGACCTTTTCACCTGTTGGTTTTCCACAGAAGACAACTTTGCATTTCCATGTCCAAGTATGGGCTCGCAGTGCTATATATATATATACATATATATATATATACAGATAGATATATATATATATGGCGTGTGGGTCACACGCAAGCATAAGTGGTCCCCTCGATTTGTTGCGCAGGCCCTCACCAAAGGAGGCAGATTCATGTCTGTGATGTGGCTTTGGGCGCTTGAGGGTGGGAACGACGGCCATTCCTTGAGCAGACATCATGCGAAACACTCTCATGGACATGGCTGTGGGAATTCGGGCGGGTTCACGAGCAAGGCAATCGCTATGTGACAAAGTGATAAACATTGGGATCCCGAGGGTTCGCCTCCTTGGTCACCCACAAATGACTGGGTTAACCCCACTACAAGTGGGTTATAGGTTAGCACCAACTTGGCCGAACACCCAAGTAGCGAGCCTAAGCAACATGTGAGCCACAATCAAAACTTGCGTAGATGAAGGTTAGCAAGGGACAATCCCAACCAGAAATAGCCGCGTACATCCGCCTGCTTAATTCTTGAAGCATGGTTCTGGGTCAACTAGTTTAATACCGGGTTTTGAGCAACACTGATGCGGGTTTCGGGCTGAGACCGAACCGTCGCGCGTCACAAAGCGGCGAGGTTCTGACGCCGGACCTCCAGGGGCTCTTGCGGGACCACATGGACCCCGTGGCGGGAGAGCTCGCAGAGGAGGACGGGCGTGGGTCTGGAGTATCCGTCCGAGAGGTGGGATGCAGTGGGTTACTTGGTTGCTTGTTTTGGGGGGATTCCGGGAGGGTTCTTCCCAAGCAAGTTGACCTTTCAAGTGTAGGTCCCAAAAGCTTGTCAGAACGCGGACAATCTAATTTTCTGGGTGCCAATTTGTCCGTTGAAGGGTTTCCAGAAGAAACCACTGCAAAGGGCCTCGACCTGCGTTTTGCTCCAGGCCCTAGCTTTTTGTAGGACCTAGCTTTGCGGTTTGGGGCGGAAGCCGGGGCGCTTCCTTGTTTGCCGGCAGGTTGCGGGGAGGGCAGCCAAGGGACCAAACAGAGGTTCCTACTTCCCAATGTTGGTGATTGAGGCAAGACTCCAAGGCTATCAGCATGGTCAATGTATGAAGGCCTTCACTTCGAGCTGCAAATGTCTGGGTTGCCCGGTTGCCCCAAACAAAGGCATCTTACCTCTCAGAAACACAACTTTTCGTAACTTTTTGGGTAACATGGGCTATATGTCTGTAAAAGATGAGAACTTCCCCAGGTTGCTTGGAGTTTTAAGGGGTAAGGCATGGAAGCTGGACCCCGATTTCTGGCGCTTGCGTGTGCCTTCCAGGTCAGTGCGTTGCTGGCCAAAGCCAGCCCCAAGGCGGCAGCGCGCGGGAAGTGATGCATGTGGCTCAAAATGGAACGATCGGAGGGGCAAACCGCAGGTCTTGGGAAACCCATGTTTTTCCACTTGCCGATCGGGCAAGCCATTTTGGAATTCCGGTTTTTTGAATTCGCCACAGCCACATCTTGCCGTTGAAAGTCACTTTGGCCAGCCGCGCCTGAAGTAGGGACGTGTCTTTTGGGGAAGCCTGGCCTCTAAGCAGCCCCGCGCATGGCAAAGATAGGGAGAGATGAAGCAAGTGTCAGAGGAGCCAAGAAACATGGAACTTCACAATGGGGTCACTGGGTTTGACCGCGCATGTCAAGATCACTCCTGCAGGAACTGTTCTTTTTTTGTTCTGTTGCGTCCATGAACCAATGCTTCCATTTGGCTAAGACTATTTAATTTTTCCCCTGTTGGTTTTAAAGGGAATCGATTTCACCACTGGAAACCTATTTTCACATTTGTTCCAGAGGATCACAAACGGAAATGGAGGCTTTCGTTGTTCGTTCTGTTTTTTACATGGAATCCCTAGAGGGGTGGTCTTGGATCAAGTTCTCGCTGCTTGCTCTGTATCCGCGTCCGCCGCATTGCAGGTGGCGCGAGGCCTTTGCGCATCCTTCGGGCAGAGCGGGCTCTTCCTGAGCGGCGGCGGCATGCTGGGCATGTACCACGTGGGCGCCTCTACCGCACAGGGGGCTAGGCCCCAGGCCAATTGACTGCGGTCGTTATTTTGACGGTTTCCGGGGATTATCAAAGTCAGTAGATGGGGTTGGGAATCCCACTTAGTGGGTGACTTTGATCATGGTAAAATAATGAGGCCAGATTGAGGAAACACAAAACTTTGGCATCTTGGTTCCTGGGTTCGCGAAACCTCTACGAAGTTAATAGGTTCAACTTCTGCAGGGAGTTCTACTAAAGACTACCGCACTGAATCGGGAAACCCTAGGCGCCACTCAGGGAGGCACGAAGCTCTAACATTTTAGCATGGTTGTTTTTGGGAAACATTTTTTGCACTGTTGCTTCTTGTGGTTTAGTGGTTAAAATCCAACCACTCAACTGCTAAGATTTGAATTGTCGCTCCCCTTGCAACGTCAACCTAGTTAGGGTCGACCGCACATCGACCTCCAAAGCTTTAGGAAAAGCTTCTGAGCGAAGACTAAGCCAGTATCTAAGCCCATCTAGGCAACTTGCTTTTCTGAGGGTAGTTGATTAGGCCGGGTCGGGCGCTCAAAGAGGTTGTTTACCGCTGCCTTTTCGGCTGCTTGTGCACACGGCTTGCGTATGAGCTTGCGTCGGATCCGAGGCACGGTCCGGCGTTTGCTCCAGGAAGGCTTGTTGCCGCAACAGATCTGCGGCACCTCTGCCTCTTGGTCACATGTGTGCTTTGGTGCATTTTGCTTGGATGTTAGGACTTTAACTTGTTGCCAACTAATGGGTTTTCCATTAAACCACTAAAAGTTAAACTTTTAGCAGGGGAGCAGAAGGCAACCGAGTGTGTGTGTGTGTGTGTGTGTGATGTTAGGCTGGTTCGGAGGGAAACCAAAGCAAAAGCCACCGTTTTGGCTTTGGGTCCCCAAGTTTTTTGACCGTTTTGAAAGCGGCGTTCAACTCTGGGGGTTCATGGCGACCTCGCAAGCGGCTTTGGCGCCCTCGAGGATGGCGAGTTGTCATCAGCAAAGGGAACTTGGCTCCCAGCCATCCGGTTCCTGAGCTTCTTAGGGCTCATAAGCTCACTCCCTGAGTTGATGGACTTTATACTTTTTGGGAAGACCATTTTAGTGGTAAACAAAAAGTTCGGACTGTTTTTGGTCCATCCACTCAGGAAGCGAGTAAGTGGTAGTTTCCATGTCAACCCACTGATAGTTAGATTTCTTTTAGCAGGAGATCTGAGGGCAGCCAGGGGAAAAATGAAGTGGGCAATCACGAACCCGATCGAGTTGCCGGGCGTGGTTGAGAAGCGCTGGCCAACAGCATCAACCAGAGCCAGTGAGAACCCTGCAGACGATGGCTGTTGGATCAGATTTCAGCGTATGCGAACCTCAGGCTGGTTGTTCATACCTGATTGGTTTATTGCAACTTTCTCTCAAAGTTTTGGCACTTTCCGATGGCCCACTCCAAACATTCTAAAGAACCCTCCACAGGCACTTTCCGACAGCTATGAAAAACGAGACAAAGCCCCCATGTAGACCCTGGCGCTTAGTTGTCCTTTGCTTTTTCTTAGCCCTTTGCCTAGGTCCCATAGTAGCCCCCTTCTCTCCCCTTTTTGGGGGGAGGGTTCCCCTAAAATCGACGTCCTGAAAAAAGTTGGTACCCACTTATTCTATCCTCTCTGGAGGACCTAGTAGAGGTTCTCTAGAAAGAAGGATTTTTGTTGGGAAAGAATGGAGAAGGTGCCCCTGTGGTCACTTTTCCCCTTGTGAATATTACAAAACAAAAAATCCTTAACCCTTGGCTTCTCCTTCAAAAGGACCTGCACCGAAAAGAGCCGACGTCGGATTGAGGTGGGCTCCATCATCGGCGCCTTTGCGGCGACCCGCACCGACGAGGAGATGCGGCGAGATTTGTATGGCCTGGAGGCAGGCGAAGGGGCGCCAGGGGCGCTTCAGGGGCGTTTTCAGCGTTCACCCAAACTTCAGGGAAAATGGCCACCCATTTTGTTTGTTGGGGGCTGGGGGTGGGAGGGGGGGGGCCTGGTGGGTAATTAGTATGAATTAGTTGGGTGAAAGTGGCTGGCATTTCAAGAACGTGTTCAGGGGCAAGTGGGTTGAGTTTGGCGACAACACTTTTGGGTTTTGTTTGCGGGTGTCTCCCAGGCTTGGCTGAGGGTTTAGTCGCCCCTGCGTAACCTGAGGTAGCCCCTTTGTAAACCCTTGTAGCTACGGACACAGCCTGAATCTCCATTTGGCTACGGATTTTAGTGGGGAACCCCCCGCAAAGTGATTGGTGGACGTAAACCCCACCGAATTTTAATGTCCACCAAAGGGTCCCCAATGTATATTCAGACCCGTATTACCTACTGAAAAGAAGCAAGAAGATTGGGAAACCAGCCAAAGAGGCTCCAATGTTGGACGACCCGTTGAGTCGTCCCCCAGACCCTCGTGCACTCGTGATGCCGAAGGAGTGGTTTCGGCAGATGGGTCCCGTGGCGGGGCCCTTCCCGGTGCAGTACTGGGAGGTGGTGGTGCGGGTTCTTTGGCGAGGCACGAAGCGAAGCGGTGAGCGAAGCGAAGTGAGCCCGCGGTCCCCTTAGGTGCCCTTTCTCACCCCTTGTTTGGGGGAGGGTTCCCCTAAAATAGACGTCCTGAAAAAACAGGGTACCCTTATTCTAACCTCTCTACTGGGGGACGAACTGAGCCACTTGCTCAAAACCGATTCGGGTAGATGAAGGTCAGTAAGGGACAGTCCCGACCATAAATAGTTGCTGCCGCCTTCTTAACTGAGTAGACCATTTTCAATACCGGGTTGTGGGTATGACTCAACTGGTTCCCAATTCCCGAAAACGCCTCAGATCCAGGCAAGCCTTGAGAAAAGACTTCTTTTTTGGGGAGGGAGGTTCCTCCTTGAAAATGCGGCAAGGGCACTGGGGGTGGGGTGCCAGGTTCAAAGTGATGTTCCAGGTACATGGCAATCTCACATAGGCTTGCCTGGATCGGGGCTCGTGTGTAGAGCAAGCTCCTTTTGAGAAATTGACGGTTGTTTGCGGGGTTGATTTCTGGTGGAGTGCCGTTTAGGGGAGCCCCATCTCAGCCTTCTTGTTTAGTGAAAACGAATTGCTGGGATCTCGATTGAACATATAAGTTAAAAATATAATGTATGGATTAGAGTCAAACAAAAGGATTTTGGCTTGGGGGGGGAAGCTGGGATAGGGTTGTTCCCACTTCAGTGCAAATGTGAACTTTGGACGAATTCAAACAAACATGTCAATCAGAGGAATCCTACGAAGATGGTTTCTCGTTTCCTGCAAGTACACAGTCTTGGCTGCAAACGCCTTACCAGTGTATCACAAGTGGTTGCACTGACTGCCAGCGTTGCAACTAGTTTTAACTCCAGATGGTTGTTTCCCCCCAAGTTGTCAATGGCCCAGATGATCACGTGGGGAGGTGTGCCAATCGCTTTAGCTCCTTTTCGCGCTGGTTTCGACATCGCCTTGGACCGATTGCAGGTGGAATTCCCTCGGTAATATTTGATGAGTCCACTCGGCTTTTGGGATATGGCTAGAGGCTGTCCGCGATCGAGTCCATGTCAGGCCCTTTTTTTTCGACATCGCGCTTCCTGAGTTTGCCAAGCTTTGTGTAAGAGTTGTTTCTCCTTGCGGTGATTGACGTGGCTGAGTTGCAGACTCGTTGGGTGGTTGGCGAGGCCACCAAGCATAGATTGGTCACATGGGTCTGAGCAAATAGAATTGCAACCTACCCGAGCGGGGGGTAACGGGGGAAGGGCGGTTCCTTTCATGAGCCACAATCAAAACCCGGGTAGATGAAGGTTAGTAAGGGGCAGTCCCAGCCAGAAATAGTTGCGGCCGCCTTCTTATTTCTTGAAGCATGGTTCTGGGTAGACCATGTTTGTACCAGGTTTTGATTGTGACTCTCATGAGCAATTCCTTGCTTGCAGTGGGTGAATTCTAAGAAACCAACTACAGGAAGTTCTATATGAAACCCCTGATTTTGGTGGGTATTTGGCTAACTTCCTGTAGAATTTCCTGTAGCTGGTTTCTATGAATTGTTGTGATTCACAAGAAATTGCCGGTCTTGCATGCGACCTTGGAGCAGCTTCCATCAGACCAGCCAGAGAAAGAGCCTGGCTCTTGACAGCACAAGCAGTTTCCTCTTGGAGGGACTGGGAGAGAGGGATGTGTTTCTGGGCGACCGGACTGCTAAACCTCCTGGCAAAGAGGGCGCAGCGCCCCACCCTGCAGGCTACATCTACGATTACATGAATCAGCACGCTGGCCATATCTGAGGCAAATCAGGATTGGATAGTAAACAAAGTACAGGAGTTGCATGCGGACCGCCGGATTTGTTTTCGTTTGGTGTTGTTTGAAGCATTTGTTGGGGTTGCCTTGTGCACTGATCTTGAGGTTGAAAAGCACCTCTTACCGTGCCGCGGCGTAAGACCTGATGTCTAGAAAACAGTTTGGATGTGCAGTTTGTGGAATTCAGGTGGAGCGTGTGTTTTACTTTTAGTGCTCTTTCAATATCCTACAGGGGTGGATCCAAAAAGGACCAAACTTATTCTCGGGGGTTCTACTTTGCCGCGGCTATTTGGACTGAAACTCGCCAGTCAGTGACATGTCACTGGGTGCAACAGACTCCTTCAGAGCGGTTGGTATGCTTGAAAGTGGGGCAGGGAGCCCCCAACCACAAGTTTTGCTCTGTTTGTTTCTTCTTTTTCCCGAGCATCTTGCCAAGGTATCGAAACCAGGCCACCTTTGTCTCGATGGGTCTCACCTTTGCAGAGGCCTATGCCAGAACCGGCAGGAGCTTGCGCCATGGGGTTATTTGGGGAGACACTATTGAATCTCAATCTGCCTCAATGCGAGTAATTCTCACTTGTGGTGTTGAAATTGGTGCATTTTATGGGTTTCACACCCCACCCCCCCATGAGGGGACGCTCTCTTGGGATGGGTCCTGGAACCGAGACGCAAGATGATTCCGATTGGGCGACCCACGTATTTGCTGAGTGATGACTCTCTGAAATGCTGGCATGCCCGAGCTGAAAACTGGCTTGCGCAGGTGGGTCACAGCACGGCGTAGCTTCGGAGATGGAGCACTCACGGAACCCAGTTCAGTGAAGCAAAACTCCCCATGAGCATTGGCCAGTTTGCTTGCAGAGTATCCTATGATTGCACATCCCTTAAAAAAAAAAAGCATGCTAAACCCTTGTCGCCGAAATTATCGGACTTGGCAATGAGTTGAGAGTCCAAGAAAACTGGAACGGAGCGCAGCCAGCGAGAGCAACAACAGCTGAATGTCGGGTCCTTCGGGAGATCACTCAACTTCGATTACCCTCCCACCAACTAACATGGAAGTGCAAGAAGGCCAACTAACCAAGAGGAAAGTAGTCTTTCTACAGGGGTCTGTGCGCCAGCCCATGTTAGCTGACTCCAATTATGGTTTCCCTTGCAAACTAGGTCCTCCAGTAGAGAGGTTAGAATAAGGGTACCCTTTTTCCTTACATGTTCGCTGGGATTCAGCACGGCAGTCAGCTTTCGGGCTGACCATTGTCGCCCACAGGACGCTGACAATCACCTGCGCGTCCAGCACTGGTGGTCCGGTGGTTCTGCTGAACAGGCCAGCCGGGCAGCCTAAGCAGGACTGTTCGGCTGTACATCTTGGTCGCTGCTCCCGGCACTGCGATGGGTATTTTCCTCCTACTGCAGTCATTGCATCAGAGTCTCCGGTGGAAGGTTCCCCCGCAATTACCCTTTCGAACATTGCGGCAAAAAGCGGTCCTTTTGGCACGTCCAAAGCGAGTCAATTTCAAATCTTGTCTTGGAATTGGCCGTCTGCAGTTGGTGTGAATGATATGCTATGATATGAGCTTTGTCGAACCGGATATTGCCTCCGTCGCTCCAGTGTCCTTTTGTCAGATGTTGCATTTCCCCATCAGGGCAAAGCTTTGCAGTTTCGCTCCTCCTATAAAGGGCTTTCTTTTCAAGAGCGCAATCTCAGTGTGGGACATGTCATGACCTCTGTTTGCTTCACCCAGCCTCCTCTTTGGGCCAGGCACACAGCGCCAAATGTGATGATTGCGTCGGCAGGGTCCTCGGTTCAGTGGGGCCGAGTGCAGGCAACCCGTTAGTGATGGAAGCGCACGGCCATGCAATAAAGACCTTCTGTTCACTTACCATCTTTGTTAGGAGTTAGGAGGGTACAACCTGAAGAGTTTGGGGAGGTCGTTGAGGGCTGTGGGGCATGACTGTTTGTTTTGGGGGGGTGTTTCCCCTGGATTTTGTATGCAAACATGTTCGTCATCAAGAGACCCTTGTTGCTGCGGGCCATGCATTTTGTTCTAGCGTTGAACAGGAACCGTTCAGAAGTTGCCCACCAGTTGTCATTTTCTGCGCAGAACAACTTGGTGACGTGACTAAGTTGTCGGAAGTACAACAGCCCCTTCCTGGTAGCTTTGTTCACGTCGAATGACTCTCTTGAGGATTCATGGAGAGCGGGCAGGTCCCTTCACGTACCAGCCAAACAGGCCAACAAGTTGATTGCCTGTTGGTTTCGATCATGAAATGCCAATAGGGTGCCTTCGAGCTGGCGAGACTGCGGATGCTTTGATGTTCCCTCTCCCAAATTAAAAAACCTTTCCTTTGACCCATGCGCACACAGAGCCAGCGGACACGCGAGGTAAGAAGAAAGTTATGGTTTGATTGAGGCCGGTTCCCTTGAGTCACATGCCCTGCCCCTTGGACGAAAAGCCAGGGCACAGCAGGAATCAACCCTTCGTGCTTGTTGAGCGAGACGCTGAGCCGGAGCTCAAGGCACAGGGACCTCGGCGGTGAATCGGATGAAGGACGCCGACAGAGCCGACACGCGCCGGAGGCGGCGACGTTTGGGGCCATTGCTGGGGTCCCAGCTGTCAGGACGTGCCTGGGTTGCGATCATGGTCACACAACCTAATGGAGCGCGACACTTGGTCGACTTCTTTGAGGAGCGCTTGGCTCGGGTTGCCATCCCCATGCGAGAACCAGAACCGAAGATCTGCTACTTCAATGAACTCCGACGACCTTACACAGCAATTCGCCAGGGTGCTGTTGCAGGGTGCAACAGTGCAGGGTGCAACGGTGCAGGGTGTACAGGGTGCTGCTCTTGCAGGGTGCTGCGGTAGCAAGGTGCTGCTGCAGCCCCAGACTCCGAGTTGCGCAGGGAGTGCTGCTGCAGGGTGCTGCTGCTGCAGGCCGAGACTCAGAGTTGAGCAAGGTGCGCTGCGGCAGGGTGCTGGTGTAGCAGGTGCGCTGTAGCAGGGTGCTGCTGCAGGCCGAGACTCAGAGTTGAGCAAGGTGCGCTGCGGCAGGGTGCTGGTGTAGCAGGTGCGCTGTAGCAGGGTGCTGCTGCAGGCCGAGACTCAGAGTTGCGCAGGGTGTGCTGCTGCCAGCCTATCCTGTTTGGCTATCGAACATAGAGGGCTTTTGAGTGAGCTCATCCAGGAAAACACGCGCTACTCTTCGTGAAGAAGACCACTCGGTTGGCCAGGGAGTTTGACAACATCTTTGCGGACCCCAGGGCAAGAACAGTTTTGTGCCCCTGCGTTCGTTGCCATTTTTTCCCTGAGAGTGATTGTGGCCTGCGCCAAGGAGTAAAAGGCTCCTCTACCCCTCCCAACTAGAAAGCCCCCAGTCGCGCCGAGGCCATTTGCGCATCCTCCTCAATGCCAATGCTGGTGGAGGCGCGGTCCGTTTCCAGACCCCTCTGGCAAGCAAGAAAGTTGCTCCGAGCCGTGACAAGCTTGTAGAAACCTGCAAGTTATATTATGTCTTGTCACGGAAATGAACATGTTGGTTTCACAGAAAGTGCTATGTCCACAACCATGCCTTGCAAAGACCTTTGGGTAGAAACGGCGCAGCCCTTGTGTGTTCCAAATCGAGGGATCTAGCTTCTGCCCTTGTGCAAAGGAAGCAACACCCTGTAGTGTTGCGAAGTGCAAACTATCTGCTCGTTCATTTTTGGGCGGCTTGTGCCTTTTGAGGCCGCTGGGGGGGGGGGGCCTGACTCTTTTTGGCTGAGCCCTGTTTGGGCGTCTCGGGGTCCAGTTGCGCCTCCTGGGGTCAATGCCTTACAGCTACTTAGCTACTTTGGTCACTACGGTTATTGTCCTGACTGGGAGAATCATTCAACCTGTGACGGCTCAGCCGTTCTGCCATGTCCTGCGGTTCTTCAAACGATCCACTGCGAGTCTTTCATGACGATTGATTTTATCCTTGCTGAAGATCCTTGGATGTTCGGCCAAGTTAGGAAGTGGTTCGGCACCTGGGTCATGGCCCACTAATGAGTGGGTTAACCCCACTATAAGTTTTAAGTGTGGCATGACCTAGGTTACCACCAACTCACTCACTTGGCCGAACACAAGTACACAATGTGTGGAACTCTGGCTCTACTGTCGTTGCTGCGCATTTCCCGTGCCCATCCGTTGGCACAATGAATGACCCCCCTTGTCGAAGAGGGGCGAGTTCAGGGGATCACTGCATCCAGGGAAGGTGATGGCGAGGACGACTCGGGAGAAGTGACATTGCGGGTGCCCCGTCACCACGGAACCTACTGCACTGCTTTCCAATGAACGCTCGGCCTTTTGGAGAACTGGTGCTATCATTGAAAAGGCGCTCGGATTCGGATTGAGTCCTCTCTTTTGTGTTAGCTGTGCACTTGCGTGTTAGGCAAGAGGTCAAGGCGTCTTCGGGGGCATGACCACGGATCGACCGCGTCTTCCTGCGTCTGACACTGGTGCGGCGTGGCTCATTTGCAACTCCATAATAATGTTTTGGCGGCAATTGAGATGCTGGGGCCCCTGCCCTAGCAACTTCTACAAGGATTTTTATGAAACAACCGCCGGCAGGGGTGTGGTTTGCACACTGCCCCAACGTAGTGAGTGCTCTGAGGCGTGCCAATTGTTGGCAGCGCTCATAGGAAGAAGCAAATGTCATGAACAGGGTCCTTCCCATTTACTCTTGATCTTGCATGATCATAGGTCTTCGTGGGCTTCGAGTTTTTGTTTTTGCCGATGGAGCCCATTGTCAGACTGAAATAAACAGGGCTCCTTAAAACATACATTTTGCCCATTTGAAACATGTTGCTTTTTCAACAAAATAAAGGTTGAAACCACCATGAAAAGAAGGCGATGTTTAGGTGTATACTGTAAGGATCCCTGACAAAGCCCTGAAACGCCGAAATTCGGCTGCCCCTCCTTCCGCCAGGCCGTGCGCTTGCTTGAGAAGGCGCCTGATGGCTCGCTGCAACCATGGGAAGGCCGTGAGGGGAGGGGTGAAAAGCGCTTAACAACCCGCTAGGTTTAATTTGTTGCATGAGAAGTTTGTTTGATGTGGGACAAGACTTGGAAAAAAACCCGATTTGGGACAAGACTCGGAGAAAGAAGCCGGAAGTGGGTGTCAATGCTTCGGCTGCGTGGGCCAAGAAGGAAAGCGGCAACGATAGCATGTTGTAGCGACAGCGAAAACGGCGATGGTTCAAAGTGGAGTTGATGGTTCATCATACTAATCCCAACCCTTCCGTCTCGCAAGAAGCTCTAACAATTAATCTCAAGTGTTTCTCGTTAGGATGGCCACGCCAGTTGCGTTGACACATGTGCATGATTCGAAGTAGCCGCGCATAAAGAGGGCGAGCCAAGAGCGGCTGGGTTTTGTTGATGAGGGCGCCTTGCTCATTGTCAGAAGGGCAGGAAGAAAGCAGAAGACCTAGTTGAATTTACTTACCCTGCACGAGCCTACGTGTTACTGGGTTTCTGCCACCGTGAAGAGGAAAGGGGATCCACGTTCATATCTTCTTGCAAACCTTGTTTCACAATAGGACAATTTCAGTTCCCCAATTCCACCCAACAACAGTCACCATTTTGACACCAGCTGACCAGCTGCCAGCCGTTTCGTGTGAAGAGCACATGTTGGCATTCCGCAGGCGCAACCGACTTGATGAGGGACGGCACAATGATGGCAGATTCGCCTTGCCGGGAGCTGGAAGAGATGCTGAATGTGCTCCTTGGCGGAGATAATGTTAACCCCGGATTAAGCAGAAGCCCTGCTTAATTTTCATCGAGGGGGTGTCCCCTTTTAGTGGGGCTTCAGACCACTTTTGGAGGGAACACCCCCCTAATAATGGGACGGGTTTATTAATCCTGGGGCAACATTAGCAGGTACAACTAGAATTTTGGAATCGTGTTCAAGCCGTTATACGAAGAGCCAACCTCAAGCCGTTCCGCCGTTCGGAGGGGTCCTTCTTTTGTTTGGCACAGATTCCCGACATATTTGTGAGTCCAATTTGCCCAGTACCATGTTTGCTGCAAAGCGTCAATGCGAGCTTGCTTCTTTGCCTGGGGAAAGGCATCCTTTGAGCAATGTCTTGTTGATGCCGTATTGATCCCATTTTCATGCATGTTAAAGCTGTGTTGATGCCAGGATGATGCCACTTTGTTTCTAGAATGCCCCCTGAAATCCCAAATAAGCTGCATCTTGTAGTCGGTCAGCCGCAGGGTAGCTAGAACGTAAGCACCACACTGGAACATGCGGGCACAGTGCAGCGACTTTTGCCGGCGCAATCCGAGAAGTTCAGTGACATTGCAGCGCCTAGCTTGTATGTTGTGGCGTGCCAAAATTGTGGTGCATATTGCTGAATTTATGTCGCTGTCCTTGCGGGATGCAGGCAGCCTATACTCAGTGCGCATGCGGGTACACCCCAGGGTTTTTTCTGTCAACAGTCCGGGTTCGCGTGGCGTTCATTTGGCTAGGGTTACGTTGTTTGTGCGTTGTTCTTTGGCCATCGAGCGTTTTACGGTGGAGCATGGCCTGCGCCCTGGAAGGGGACTTGAAAGCAAGGGATTCTCTGAGGACCATCATTGAGCTCGTTATAAAGTTTGAATGCTGTGTCATGCTGGCTCCACCCACCATTGAAAAGAAACAACCCATAGGATCCCGGGGTGTTTTCAGCTCACAGGGTTGCCCGCCTTGACACCACCATTTAGAGGGTAGTTTTGAGGACGTCACTTCGGAAGAGTTTTTTTTCTTCAAGGGAGCTTCTGCCATAGTGCGTATCCGTGAGCAGCAAGGCGACATGTCCGTGGACTCTTCAGAGAAATCCGCGGGAGATACGCCCTCCCCTCAACAAGGCAATGGGGCCTGATCTTGTGACCAGGCTATGAGCCATAGAATTCACCCACCGGGATTCCCCACAATTGAGGCAGAGTTTACGCTTTCTCCAACAAACGTTGCAGTTTGTGTTTTGTGGCATGTGTGACTGTTTGAGGTCTTGCACCACTGTCAGCTTCCATGTTTGCTGCGGAAAGTCAGCTTGGCAGCGCTGTTTGAAGCGGTGTCTTGCTTGTTGTCAACTTTCCCCCACCTACCTATTGTGCTCCAGGGCAACAACAAAAAACATAAACCGTCTGAGACGATGGCGAGGAGCGGGCAGGGGCCCTTGAGTACAAGAAGCAAGTGCGCCAATGGGATCGCTTGATCAGGGGCTTCAGCAACATGGTGCCAGGGTTTCACCACCCTTTGCTGGGAATTAACTTTTCTGTTCTCTCCCTACTCGCTCCCGGGAAACGACTTGTTCTGTTCTCCCTACTCGCTCCCGGGAAGAGCAACAACTCGTCTTTTGTTTTGGCAGGTTGCCACTTTGGTGTCGATCAGCCTATCGCTCAGGCGCTGGTCCCTGGTCTCACAGGCGCATTCGGACGTGTTTTTTGTTCGGCTGGGCTCCGTGAATGGTTCACGGCGGTTGAGGAGACATGAAATCGTCAGACAAACGCAGAAATCGCAAGTTGAACGTATTCAAAGATTCGCTTAATTGCTTTGTTTTGATTTGCTCCCTTTTTTTTCCTGTCCCTGCATGCTCCGCTCTCGTCTACCCAGTTTGCGCGGCAAATTCATGTGCGAGGACTGCCGTGCTCGATTGGCTCAGTGCCATGATTCCTTGGATTCCTGCTCACTGCATGCCATCATGGGCCGCTATAACAACGCCAAGGGGAGGTTATGTGCCATGGTGTGCCCCATTTGCCTTCGGTTGTCGCTTTGGCTCTTCGCAGACCGATTGGGCAGAAAACGTAAGGAAGCAAAACTGCAAAGCAACTCAGCGTGAACAACTTGTTCCAAATTGCAGGAACCTGGCGCTACTTGGGTGCAGAATTGGGCACTTTGTGATCTTCTGCGAGCAAGGCATGCTTGGTACATTGCAGAAATTTGGGAAAGCAGGTTTCGTCCTTTTTCGTGTTCGGGATCGGGGGGAGCGAGGCCCTTTGGAATCAGTTTGGAAAATTGGCCCGGGGCCTTTTATTCGCTTCGCGCGTTGCCTTGTGACTTTTTGCTTGGGGAGGTCGACGGAATTCGCTTTGTTTCTTCCACCTTCCGGACTTGGGCTGCGGCGCTTGCCGCAGATGAACCGTGCTGAACATCCGGGTAGATGAATAGGGGGCAGTCCCAGCCGAAAATCGTTGTGGAAATCCGCCTTTCTAATTCTTGAAGCATGGTTCTGGGTCCACTTTTGTACCAGGTGAACCCGCATGTGGTTCCTCTCCTTCTGCCGCGGATTCTGGCGGAGCGCGCGAGTCAACTTCCCGGCGCAGCTCGGTGCAGGTGACCCATGTTTGTTGGCGGCCAGGGGGGTCTTTTTGCCACCTTTGGTGGAAAAATGATCGAACCCCTTGTAGGGAAGCATTCCTTTTTCAGGGGGTCTTTTTGCCAGTTTTCTCACAAAATGGTGGCAAAAAGACCCCTTTGCCCGCGGCACCTCCTGTTACCCTTCCTCACCATCGCGCGGGTGTCTTTTTTCTTTGGTCTTGAGGGCTTTTCGAAGAAGTTGCAATCGTGCTAAAGCTGAAGTCGTGGGATGCAGAAGCACTCAGCACCAGGTTGTTGAGTCACCCACTCCACAAGTGGTACTGTGGTGTCTTCCTCGCCGGTCCCCAAGGCGGCCGAAAAAGTGCCTTATGTGTTGCGACCATGACTCATTTGAGGTTCGGGGAGGAACCGGTGTTGCAGGGGCTCCTTTCTGACTTATGCTTAAGAGCACTGCGCGGTAGTTGTCTCCATTTGCAGCGATGTCGCTTTCAAAGTCAGCTAGTCAAAGGAGGTGTCCTTTTAAGTTTGCCATGGCCACTGAGCAAGTAACAGGCTATGATTACAAAAGTGTGCAACTTCGCAACACGCCTGTATTATGTGTAGAAACCCTTTTTGACAGCTCTCTAAGGAGATCAGCATTTAACATGTAAACATTGGGCTCCTGGTAGAGGGGTCATGGTATTTGCGCAAAACCCCAAGCAACACCCAAAAGGTGGTTACAAACCAGACCCTATATTTGGGTCAAGGTAGTTTGATGCGTTTGCCAGTGAATTACTAAGAAGATTGTGGCGGAAAAGATGTTGAACCCGTCTGAAGGCCAAGATCTTGCCAGGGCCATCTTAAATCCTAGGTTCAGCTCAGGTTGGCCATGTGTCCGGCCGAGGTCTTTGCAAGGAGCCTTACGAACTTGGAGCGTTGGACGCGCAGGCGACGGCTCCTGACCTGGTGCATGCGGCCAGAAATGACGTCTTTGAGTACATGGCGGTGGTGTTGTCTTTTGAGGGCATCCAATTTCTGGGTAGTGTTTTGTTTTTGAGTATCCTTTTTTCAGGTAGCCGTCACAAGCGTCGAAGCCAGCTACGGGAATTGTGACAGTCAATTGACCGAACACCCACAAAAAAACAAGGGTTTCCCGGGGCTTGCCTTTGATACACTGGGCATCACAGACCCCAGAGTGCTTTTTTGTTTGCACACTGGCCAATGTTTTGTTTCGCAGGTAAGCGCGGGCAATGCAAAGCCATAGTGTGCGAGACGGCCTCCAGAGAGCTGTCCAAAGATGCGTGGTTTTGTGTAGCATGGCAGTGAAGTCAGAAGGTTTGTCACAGAATACCTGCATATATCCCAAAGTGTGACGCTTTGCCAAGGTCAAGCTGGTCAACTGATGTTTGCCAACGGCTTTTTTGGCAATCAAACGGCGTTTTTTGGCAATCAAACGGTTCACACAAGTTCTTGAATATTCGCCAACGACGTTTTTGGGCACCAAGCGCGTTTATTTAACTTCAATCAGTGGCGGAAATTCGGCGCCCTGGGCTTTCCAGGCATGATAGATTTGTAATTCTACGCGCAGCAAGAAGCTGTTGATGCATGGTCGGACCTGACGAAGCTTTGGAAGCACGTAGCGCTCTGAGGGTTTCTGCTTTGCGCCAGCTCAAACAGGCATGCTTTCTCAAATGCGTGATTTCAAGCCCTACGTTGAACAGCCAAAGGTGAAAGCGCCGCGCAGCTCAGCTTTTGTGGGTCTGCTCAGCAATTGTACTCTCCAGAATGCTTTTTCTGCTTGGGCGTCTATTCTCTTACCCTTGTGGTTTCCGTGGGCCTTGTTGCCTCGCCTCTTATTTGGCCAGTGGCTGGTGCTTCTAAGCGCCAGAAAGGAACACCGCCAAACGCTATCGCCGCAAAGCCAAGTTGCCACCCCCAGACTTGGAATTGAAAAGCCCTACAAAGATATATTTGCTATGGCCGCCCAGCTCCAAGCACATTGGCGCAGACGCATTTAGCGTGAAAATAACAACCGAACTTTGTGTTTTCCGGGACACTGGGTTGAACAGGCTCCCCACAACAATCTTACAAACAGCGCCCGGCTCAAGATACGCAATGCTGAGGTGTTACAGAAAACGCCGTGATTTCTGGAGTTGCCCCCTCCCCCACCCCTCCCTAGGCTCAATTCTGAGTCCACGTGTCCATTGTTTTTCATTGGGGTTGTTATAACAAAGGAAGGGTGGTGGGGGGGCTGGTGGCCGGATTGCGGCGTTTTCTGTAACACGCCAGCTCTCTCAAAGGCTCTAGGCTGAGCTGCCAATTACTTCCCCCTATCAAGAATGCGCTTTATCATTAATTTGTTTTTCGCGGACCCCTCGTCCAGACCTGAACTTATGAGCTCTCCAAACCAGGTTTGACTTACGATTGCATTCACGTTTGAATTATCGCATTGCAAATTCAAATCTAGAGTGAGCAAATCAGATTGAACTGCGCCGATTTGTTTTGTTCAAGTTCAATATCAACAAAACTGCCTTGAGCGGTTTTCTTTTAAATCGCTAGTGGACATATTGCTGTTTAAGGCGTTTGTGCCAGGTGGCACCCTGCAGCGCCCTTGTGGTACCCAATCAATAGTTTTTTTTGCCCCAGGGAATATTGATTAAAAGGGGGGAAGGGGGGTACCCCATTTATTGCTATGGGGAAGCCGCTCGCCAAGGCAAAGCTCAAACTAGCATGAGCCTCGCAGCAAAAGCCGAGCGCGAGCCGGGCACGAACCGGGCACGAACCGGGCACGAACCGGGCATGAGGCGGGCACGAACCGGGCACGAACCGGGCACGAGCCGGGCGCGATCCGTGTGCGGTCCGTGCGCGCTCCGTGCACGAACCGGGCGCGAACCGTGCGCGAACCGTTTACGAACTGGGCGCGAACCGGGCACGAACCGGGCACGAACCGGGCACGAACCGAGCACGAACCGGGCATGAGCCGGGCACGAACCGGGCACGAACCAGGATCCGCGCGCGATCCGTGCGCGATCCGTGCACGAACCGAGCGCGTGCACGATCCGCGCGCGATCCGTGCACGAACCGGGCGCAAACCGGGCACGAACCGGGCACGAACCGGGCACGAACCGAGCACGAACCGGGCATGAGCCGGGCAAACCAGACACGAGCCGGGCACGATCCGTGCGCGATCCGTGCGCGATCCGTGCGCGATCCGCGCACGAACCGGGCTCGAACCGGGCACGAACCGGGCACGAACCGGGCCGGACCGGGCCCGATCCAAATACGAGCCTCCCAAGCAGAGCGCCACCTGAGCACAACCCAAGCAGCACGAACAGAGCGCGAGCCGGCAGAGCAGAGCACCAATTGAGCACGAACCGAGCACTAACCAAGCACAAGCACGAACCGAGCGCGAAGCGACCACGCTTAGGGTCGCAACCCTACCTAGCTGGGTTGTGAGTTTCGAGCATAAATGCTTGTTTGGTCTTGGGAGGCAGGCTGCCGCAAAGCCTTGCCGCGTGGAAATATAGTTTCCGAATTCACGCGCAGATGAAAAGCACTCCTGGCCCCGTGTGCAAAGGCGAGCCCCGTTTGCGTGAAATTGTTTGTTGAAGCTAAAGGGAAACCACCCATTGTGATCCAACAAGCACATATGGTAGGTAAATAGAAGAAGAGATGAACATGTAACTGTAAGGGACAGTGTGAAGCCAGATGTCGCTATTTTCAGGCAAGAAGCCTCATTTCGCTTTCGTCATCTATGCGTGCAAGAATCTCCTGAACGCCGCAGGAGTATTTGGGCCACTTTGCACGCTTTCCAGAACTGGACCGGCCTTCCCAGACAAGGCGCCGAATGACCAACAGAGGGCGTAGTTGTGGTACTGATCCGGGAGAGAACCCAAGGCTGAATGAAGATGGGAACTCCTTTTCATTATGGCCTCAGGTTTCGGAAGCAATGCAAAGTCACTGATCCAAACAAGTATTTGAGTGTGTCAAGATGAGGGACGCCACGTCATCTGAATAATTTTTGCAGGGCCTCATTCAGACACATTTTTGTAGTTGCTGCCCCGAATCACGCCTGCTTCCGGCAATTACGTTCTCAAACGTTGTAATCATAGGTGTCCTTTTTGGTTGTTTTGGCAAAACAATAGATGGCCCTGGTTTACCAGATGGTTTACTCATCTACCAGGGCCATCTATTTCCGCCAAAAGGACACCTATCGTTGTAATGCAGACCCCGGATGAATAAACCCCTGCCCCATTTGGGGTCCAATCCCATGTCCTTGTTTCCTCCAAAGCCTTCATAGGCCTTAGGTTTTGGGAGGGGTCTGCATCCTACTGTGGATGGACGAAATCCTGCACCACTTTGAAACCATGGGAAACCATTGTTTGCTGGTATTTACAGGGGAACCATCATTCCAGGGTGTCTTAGGTGGTGCAGGATTTCGTCCATCCACAGTGACATGGAGGTCAAGCTACCCAGCTCCTCCATTCCGAGGCCCCCTTGAAACTCAGGCTCGCTGGCTGTCTGGGCGCCAATCACTATCCATGCGACATGAGCCTGTATTTGAACGGAGTCATGAGCCTGAATTTGTTTGGGCTCATGTCAAAATCAGTTGTCGACGCCCGGCATGCCTGTGTTTGAAGGGAGTTGTGTCTTAAACTGCCGGTATTCCACTTCAATTGGCTATCCAAGTCAAGGTTGAACGAGAGCTGATGAGGGGGGCAAGCTCAGCTTGCGCGCGCGCGAGCAATGTTGACCTGCAGCAAACTCGGAGCAAGACGGCAGCGTCAGTCTCGCGACAGCTTTGCGAGAAGACGGGGATTAATCTCCGAGCCTAACAGTGGGGACAGTCCCAAAAAATCAGCTGGGTGTTCTGCAACCGAGTAAAGCACGCTCAAGATGTCCCTTGCTCTGTGGCCCATTTTGGGGGAAGTGCGGGGCACTAGTTTGCCATGTCCTTTACGCGGAGCGTTTCATGGCAGGGGGTCAAGAGCCAGACGGCAGGCGTTCATTTGATTTGTGCCAAGACACGCGCCCAACACACACACACACACACACACACCTTGGCAACGAATTCGAGCCCCTGAGAAAAGAATCTCCCGTGGAGAGACAAACCCCTTTGTAATAGACGGTGCGGTTATGGCCAAGTGACAGATTGCGCCCACGGGGGAAGATGCCAGATGTTTTAGGGAGTTGCTGCTTTGCTGCTCGCAGGTCATTCGCAATTGTGCCAAGTGTTGTTGGTGTTTGTCCGGCGTGTGAGCCCTGGTCCCCTTTTTGCTCTACGCGCACCTTTGGGTCTCTCAAACAGGCGTGAGCGCACTTGCATGTTTGAGTGAGGATGCTGGATTTCTCAGCTGCTGTTCCAGGATTACTTTGGCGATGTCGCCCGGCTGCAGTCAGCGCAGCGGCAATAGGGCTGTCTATGAGAATAATGCAGGTGCCGGATCCATAGGTCGCGTATTATATGAGTCACCATAGGTCACCAAAGATCATCATATGTCACCATAGATCCACCATAGGTCACTATAGTTTTGCCCCCTTGCCATAGCGACGACGATATATTTGATTTGTTTGATTTGTTTGATTGATTTGTGAATCCTGAGCGCCCGCTTGCGTGTGTGCATGTGTGTTTGCGTGTTCGCGCAATTTCGTGTTGGTGCGTGTGTCTGTTTTTTGTTTGCTTGCGTGCTTGCTTGCTTGCTTGCTTGCTTAGCGCACTCACAGGCAGGCGAGCCAGCGCGGGCGCTCGCACAAGCAAACAAACACACCAACCAACCAAGAATCCAACCAACCAACCACCCAACCAATCACCTAACCACCCAACCGCCCAACCCCCCAACCAACCAACCAACCAACCAAGCAACCAACCAAGCAACCAACCAAGCAACCAAGCAAGCAAGCAAGCAAGTAAGCAAGCAAGCAAGCAAGCAACCAACCACAAGCAAGCGAGCAAGCAAGCAAGCAAGCAAGCAAGCAAGCTGTTAGTGTTTGTGTTTATCGTTTTTCCTGAAGGACTGCAACGCAGTCTTTACACAGGGCTCTGTGTGCACTGCCAGGGTTGGAGGGGCCGTTGAGAATAAGGTGAACGTCGTCCACAGCGAGATGCGCTTTGTGGACTACCTGCGGCTCATCAAGAATGAGACCACATTTCAAGACTTCCGCGCCAAGGCGCAGAAAGCTGAGGAACTTGAACAGGGCTCCTTAAAAGATACATGTTGCCCACTTGAAACATGGCTTTTTCCACCAACATAAGGGGAAACCACCATGAAAACAAGGCAATGTTCAGGTGCATCATGTAAGGATCCCTGTTGAGCAGGTTGTCTGTGCCTAGGGGCTCCGTGCGTTCTACTTGTCGGGCTTAGTTGACCAAGCAACTAGAAAGGCGAGGGGGTTTGCTGATTTTCAGGAGCTCGATGGAAGTAATTGCAATCGGCTTGGAGCAAATGGCTGTGTCCAACTAGTTTCCTTTCAATCGGGAGGCTCCCTTGATTGTTTCGTCGCCCTCAATCGAGACGCCAAGGTGCCGCCCTCAAGCATGTGTAGGCATTTTTGTGTAGGCGTTTTTGTGGAGCGGTTTGGCAAGAACCAGCCTATAATTTCAGCCGTAGAAGCCCGACTGTGCTTGCGCGCCTCACACCTTCAATTCGACTTGCCTGTCAGAAAGCAGCCGCGCGTGGTCCCGGAAGGATTTTTTGCTTGACCTCAGCGCGTTGGTAAAAGACAGAATTGCCCAATGCTACAAGGTTCCTTCTAACCTTGTCCAAGCAGGAAGGGAAGCAGGAAGGGCCATTGACTTTTTCGTATTCTTCGGCCTTGTGTTGTTCAGTGCCAATCTCTCAATTCTTCCTGGGCACATCTTGAGAGGTCCCAATCACAGTCACAGGTTTCACAAAGATATGGCTGTGGCTCAAAAAAGTGGTACAAAAATGGCACCTTGGTTAGAACCAAAGCCTAAGACCTGCAGTTTGCCCTAGCTCTTGAATCTTGAGCCATGCCCATTTTGTGTTTTTTGTTTTTTTCCCATGCCAATATTTCGTAAATATTCCTCACCCTTTGAGAGGTCCCAATCACGGTCGCGGAGGTGGATGCCTCCGATACCCACACGAAGATGGCGGTGCCAGCGCTAAGGCTCCGCGCCAAGCTGGAGGCGCGACCGCCTCCACAAGGTGTGGGTGGTGGTGTCTGGGTGGGGTGTGGGGTGTGGGTGGGGTGTGGGTGGGGTGTGGGGTGCGGGTGGAGTGGAGTGTGTCCACAGGGCTCAAAAGGCCGCTCTTTGTTTGAACAGTCCGGAGTTCAAGGGAAGCAGGGTCTGGTTGTTTGGTTTGAACAAACTCGCCATGTATACCATAGAGTGCCTAAGCGATCAGAATGCTCGTAGGACAATGGTGTCGTTACAGGCTTGTGCCACCCTTTAACATATTTGACCCGCTATTGCTTGAACAAGATTGTTTTGGCTGCCCTTCATACAGGACGGAATTGAGGCCGCGCATTTCCCAACCCCTCCCAGAATGGTAAGGGCTTGTTGGTCGACTGTGATTCTTTTCGCCCCAGAAAATCGTCTGGGCTTTATGGTCATTGGTGAACTATTGGCAGATTGGCTCCGCCTCAAGCTTAACATGCTGGCTGATTGCGATTCTCGCTGGCGGAACACGTGCACAGTGGATGTAGGAGGGGGGATGTTGAAGCGCCGCTTGAGATCTGCTTGCAATTCGCATTGGGGACCAACCTAGTTTGGGAGTTAATGGAGTTGATGTCAACTTCCGATCAATCTGCGCGATCGCTAGGTGGCAACAATCCCTTGCGTTTTTGTGTCGCCCTGTGGATCAATCTGAGTAAACCTTGTTTGAAACATGGGGGGGACGTCATTTTTTCGAGGGGATCCAACACCTGAGGCGTTTGCGCCCGAAATTGTTGAACTTATATTCATCAACCCCAGTTTATTAATAGGGGGCGGCGTTCCCCGCCAAAAGTGATGATTCCTCACATGCGGGGACACCCCCTGTGAATAAACTGGGGGTTTATTAATATGGGTATGGGTCAAAATGAAACCACCAGGAAACCGCAGATTTTGGTCGATGTTTCATGCACCAGGACTCATTTTTGGGTACCTATGTTTGACCTATAGCCACATGGGGTCAACATGATTGCTCTCAGGCAGCCTTGCGCAAAGCAGTGGACGCTGCGCCTAGAGAGCCGCTGCGTCGTGCTACCGGGCAACTTGGCGCAACAGGCACCCCAACCCCTGAGCGCTTGCAGGTGTGTTTGTGGAGGGAGGAACTAACAAAAGTGGGATATTGGGGATGGTTGGCCTGGACAGTATTGAACAGCCAAGCTTTTGACGCCTTTTCGCACACTTATGGAAAATAGGGGTTTGAGCCACTTTTGCTAACGCCAAAGGAATCTTTGAAGTATTGGTAGTGATGTAAACATATGTTTGAACCGGCCACCCCCGGCCCTGGCGCACGATTTTTGCGCGAGACTTCTCTGAGGCGCCGCACAAGAGTCTGAGGCGCGGCAACCAGATAATCCAGAGGTCCATCTTTAAGCAAACGGCGTGACCTCACAAAGAAAAGATGACAATGGGTGGCTCAAGCGAAACTCCTTTTTTATCGGCTAGACCCTGTTTTACTTCAGAATGACAATCGTTGACTGGAGTCAGCATGGCAGTACCCATTTTGCCACACCCACTGCTTAGTCGTGACCTTTGGAGAATCATCCTTGAATTGAATTGAGAGCATTTGCCAACAATTTTACCGACCCAAGAAGGGTCGAGCGTGGAGGACTAGTTGCCTTCACAGCGGGCGCAGCCCAATTTTCCACCGGCTGCGCCCCCCAATCTGTGCTGAGTTCTCGACCCAAGCCAGCGCCGCCTTTCGTGCAAAGGGCGCAAAAGAAACGGAAGCCGCCGGGCATTGACGTTGCTTGGCCTTGCTCTGGGGAAGTAGAAGAATACATGTTGTTCGTCAGCAAAGTTGGCGAGCGTCAGCTGGCTTGGGATACATCTCGTCGTTTCTTGCCAAGACCCGTTCAGAAGAGGCAGGCGATGAACGCCTGCTTCATGCATCAAATTCTTTAAACTGGATGCCTCATAAGATAGACTTGGATGAAGCCGTGGCCGACTTGGACGAAGTCGGCCACGGCTTCACCGAGCGGGGCTCCGTGGAAGTTCCTGGCTTGCTTTTCCGATAGACGCACGCCAGCTGTCTAGGCTCCTGCACAAAGTTATTGCGTTCATGTGCGAAATCTGCCGCAAATTGGTTTGGGCGAGCGTGTTTTTGAGGGCGCCCTTGCCCTTCGCCTTTAAAGGGTACTTTCCATTTGAATCCCGGTTCTCTTCCCGGATTTCGCTCATGAACAAAGCATTTGTTCGTTGCTTTTTCAGCAGGGCCTGGCAACACCGTTCGCCCGCACCGGGCCAAGATTCGTGGGTGGCAACCCCAGGGCGGGATGTTCCAAAATCAGGCCAATTCAGTATTACAACGATTTAATACAGAGTAGTTCTGCCTCCCTAGATGCGAGCCGTCAAGAGTTGCAACAATTTTTCACCGAAAGGGACATCGAAGTCTCTCCGTTGATTGATTGGAAGCGGCTGGAAAAAAAAAGTAGTGCTAAAGAAACATATAATATATAAATAATACATAAATAGAACCAATGATAGAAATACAATAAATTTGAATTTGAAGAATTGAACGAACTAACTTATATATATGTTTTATTGGTTTATAGAAATGATATAATTGGTTTATTTTTTAATATTTGTTGTGTTTTTATGTGTTTTTATGGTATGGGGATGGTTTGGAATTGATTTAAGGTTGATTTGAATTGGTTTTTAATGAATTTTAGAATGTATTTATGTATAAAATGAATTTAATTTGGTTTTATATATTTTTATTAAATTTAAATGCAATTAATAATATATAATAGATATAGAAATTAAACAACAAATAAATGAATTTAAATATATAAATTATTAAATAATTTGTTTATTTTAAATATAATAATATAATTTTAAATGGATTAATAGATATTAAATAGATATTAGAATATTTGGTAGAATAATACATGAAATATATAAAATTAATATAATTATTATTTATATATTTGATTAAAAGGCTAATAATATTGATAAATTCATTTTATATACAAATAGAGATATAATGATGCAAATTAAATAATAAAAGGAAATTAATTTTACGGATTTCTAATATATTAATTGAAGATGATTAATTCGTTTTCCGATTATATTATGTTGATTAGCATATACAAAGCTCGATTAGCATATGCAAGGCTCGATTAGACAAAAATCGGTACGAGGATTATCTAAAAAAAATAATAATTTGTTTCGGAGATAAATTAAAGAATTATTTTAACATATTAGTAATATAATTTTAAAGGGTAAATTATGTTTATTTAAATACAATAATTATATTAAATTATTATAATATTATTTATATATTTTTGTTATTTTTTAAATATAATAAAATATATTATATATTCATGAAGATCTTCGTATTTATATTTATTTTATTTTCTTTTTTCCTTAATAATTCCGATTCTTATATAGTTACAAATAATTCATATTATTTAGCTAGGGCATTAATTTAAGATTCTCTTTTTCATTACCTCCGATATATCATGTAACCAACAATTATAAAGCCCTAATTTAGCATCCTCGATTTGCCAAATTTCGTCTTTATCGAATTCCTTCTTTATAATCTTAAATATATTAACCATGAATTTTATACTAATTAATTTATTTATACTTATTAATCTAATTCTTTTTCAATTAAATAAACAAAAAACAGAATATGTAAATTCTAACATTTATAAATATAAATCGGCATACCTTTCACACTAAAATATGTTATATATTATTCAATCAAGCTTATTACCACGACCTATATTCCATTCGTTTTCAAGCAAAAAATCTAATTAGGATATATAAAATATTATATTATGTTTTAAGAGATTTCATTAAATCCCGAGAATATTCAAATAAATCAAGAAAAAATCAAAAGAACTATAATATATCTTATATAAATTAAATAATTTATTTTTGTTTTTTTAAATTAATATTATTTAAAAAATATTATATAAAAAACCAAAATCCAATAACCAAAAATTTCAATTTATAAAACACATCTAACAAATCATAAAGAAAAAATAAACCAACTACATAACAAAACAAAATCACCAACCTAAACCAAATAATAATTATCTTTATTAACTACATAACCCGAGAAAAATCTCAAAAAAACATAACCTCAATATCACCATATACCTACCTTCAAACCAACCAACCATATAACAATATTAAATAATCAAATATCTACCCAATAACAAAATCATATCTTAATTTTTTTTCGTCTTCATCCTATCCAAACACCCAAACAATATCATTACAATCCCATAATTCTCATCCAAATTATTTTGCATTACCGCCTCCTAACATAAATAATTTATAAATTTTATCCAACAACAACCTCCAAAAACCACAAATACAATTTATAACGACAAACATTATTCGTTCCATTTTATATAAATTATTCATTATTGTAATATGTATCTCAAAATAAATATTTATTATTTTATATCCAATATTTATAAAATAAAATAAACAATATAATCTAAAAAATCATATCAAAATCCATCACATAAATCTAATTCATCACAAATCATACAAATAAATCAAACAAACCATAAACACTATTTATATATAATATAATAATAATCAATAAAATAAATTTAAAACATACTAAACAAAAATAAAACACACAATAATAACAAAATTATAATATAATAATAATCATAATCATAAAAATGCAATAAACGTAATAATACTCTTAATATACAATTTATCAATATTCAAATAATTTGTAAAACCAACATTTCCATTTCGCCTCGATACACAACGCATCCGTACAACACACCAAAAAACACAATATATAATAACACAATCCTGTCGAAGAACCACATGCAAAAACATATATCACATATCCAACAAACACACCATGTTCCTAAATGTTGTAATCAATATGATAATGTCCCATGATTTTGGTGCCAAACACAATGCTTTTACACGGTCAAACGTAAATACATGACAACGCAGCATTTTCGCCAAGTCAAATTCAAATTTCGCAAAAAAACGCAACGCTTTTGCAAAATCGGGTATAAACTTCGCAAAACATGCAATACTTTCGCACCATCAAATGGAGATTTCGAAGCAAACACAACGCTTTCGCAAAATTCCAATTTTAATGTCTCGCTGTATTTCTGATCCCTATTTCGGACGTGTCCGTGAGTTTTGCTCTTCCACTGTCTTGATCCTCATCGCCCCTGGAGAATTCCGGACAGGTCCATCTCGCAAACGCCTAAAGGGCACGAATCACCGATTTTGGCAAGTCATTGAAACGGACGCCAAACTATGGCAACCTCGTTCCACTCTTGTTTGCATGCGCGGCCAAGAATGGCAAAGCAGCTTTGGCCAAGGCGCCGTTTTTGGAGCAAAAACCAGGCTTGCACTGGCAGGAGCCGTACTGGCAGGAGGCTGTGTATCCCAGCTGCTGCTGATTGGAGCATTGGCCCCAACACAACCCGACATAGCCAGAGCAGCCTGCGTGCGCGCACACTTGTCAGCAAACTTTGCTCAGGGCAACCTTCCAAATCACACAGGGGAGCAACCAGTGCATGCTTAAAGAACACGTCCTCATTCTTGAAAGAGCTGCAAGTGCCACCTTAGCATTGTTCGTGCCAAGTTCTGCCTGACATGTCGCGCCTGAAGTGCCAAATACGGAGCCCATCAAGCCGCCTCGGGCAAATGCCAGCAAACGAATGCGTGTGATGCCAGCGAGCGGCATGCAGGCATGCCAAATGAAGACGCAAGAGTCATAGTTGTTGGAACTGAACGGGGCATTTCTCAACTGTTGCGCAGCACTTGGCCAACCAGCCACCATCAGTTAATCTGTTGCCAAAAGCATTTGCAATTGTAAGTAATATGAATCTGGTTCTTGCAGGAGGCTCTGCGAATGACTAAGCCGCAGTTCAATCCTTTGAAAGGTGGCAGTCACACGGTCACCAGCGAAAACCGAACACATGCAAATTGGCGACGCCAAGAATGCTCTTGCGAATCCAAGTGGGCTCAAAATTGTCGACTTCCCTGTGGTTTTCTTTTACCAGACCCCAAAGGGGCACCCTCAACAAAACACACACCTGGTCAGTGACCTCAGCGCTCTGCCAAGGGTGTCCCACACTCCTTGCACGGCGCCAGCTGCGTCTGCCAGGCCAGGGATTTGGGCTGCTGTTGCGGTCACCTGAACGAGTTGAATGCGAGACAACACCCTTGATTGAAACACGTCTCAACTTCCCAAAGCAGTCCATTTTCCACCAGATACAATGGAACCTCGGTTGCGTTCTGCTCCCCTGCTAAAAGTTTAACTTTTAGTGGTTTAATGGAAAACCCATTAGTTGGCAAAAAGTTAAAGTCCTAACATCCAAGCAAAAAGCACCAAAGGAACCACATTGTATCTTAAAAACCAACTGCCTGAACAAGTTGCCCTATTTAGTTTTCGTGGAGCATGGAGTAGTGTCCACGCGTCGTCCATGGAATTGGTGGAATCGGGCCCACGCCTTTTCAACAACATTGGTGGCGCCGCTGCCAACAGCGTCGCGAATTTCACCCGCGGACCACGAGCAGGCTCCTGGCGACGTTCAAAAACCATCGCAGCGGGGCTGATGTGAAACAGCGTGCCAACAACGCCGACTCGATTGGCGCCAGTCCATTTGAGGCGCACGTAAACTCCGGGCAAACCTCAGGGCAATGGCAAAGCGTAAACATGCCAACATGTTTGCCAAAGAAGGGATGCGATTCTCTGACCTGCCTTCCGAAAATAACTGAGTCACCCAAACCCACCGGCGCTAAGTGCGTGCCAGGAGGCACACTGGCCCCAAGTGAGCGATCCCTGCTGCGTATCGCAGCTAGCACTGCGGCTGTCATCGCAAATTTGAGTGATGGCACATGAACCACCTGTAATCTTCCTTAGCGCGCGAAAGCCGAAAGCCCAACCATAGGTGGCCTTTTGGAAAAATAGATGGCCCTGGTAAATGGAACAAAACCCATCTAAACCAGGGGAACCCATCTATTTTTTAACCAAACTAACCTAAAAAGGACGCCTATGCCCACAACCTCCGGCGTGGTGCTTCTCAATTGTAGTTGAAACGCTTCTGGGCTGAAAGTTTTCAGAGATTACCCGCGAAAAGTTTCACTTTTAGCGGGTTAAATGGCAGCCCCCACTAAAACCTAAAGACTAAACAGCTAAGGAAGCGCATGGCTGGGAGCCACCAAGACTTCAGGTGGTTGGTTTCGTTTTGGGTTGCCCCTAGCATCCCAGTCCAAGAATTGTTGGAGAAACACCCAACTGCCTGCAACATGGGTGTGTGCTTTTTGATGGCACAGCCGCGAAAAGCAGCGCGTGACAGCCTGCACAAGCAAGCCCAAATGAGACGCACCACGTTCAGGAATTCATGGAAATCAGTGCACATACTCGCAAACCCCATAGGACGCAGCATGCCGAGATGTCGGATGAGAAGCACGATTTTGGGCGCACCATGCGTAATCCCGATGGGACGCAAAAGGAGGTGCAACTGGGAAAAGCATACCCGTGAGAGCACCCGAAGCAACACGTTCTGCGGGACGTCGCGACCTGTTCCTGTTCTCTGCCCCGCAAAAATCATCAAGTTCTGTCTTCTGCAATTTTGGTCCTGTCAGTCACAGCCCCGCCCAAACCAACACTCCTCCCCAAAAGAGTTCGCTCGGTAGAGCAACGAAACGCATGCATCAACAGGTTGTAAGCCCCCACGGTACCAGCATTTTTCTGGCAGCCCCTCTCTTGCCAGCAACTCACATACCAAGAGCCGCTGCCCAAGCCAAGTGCAGGACGAGCTGCACGCAGGCCTGCAAAATGAGAGCTTCTCAGATTTGTGGAAAACATCCCCCTTCTGGTTGGCAGTTAAAGGGAACAAAGGGACATCATTATCTTGCATCTTGAGGGGAGCTCAGTTTGACAAAACCAGTACTTTCCGCCAATTAATCTGCAAACTTTTCTATAATTCCAAAAGCTGAACTACAGGGATCCCCGAGTAAAGGACCTCTATCATGGCTTTCGCTCGTTGTAGCCCCGGCTCGGTGAACTCGCCATAAAACAGGCAGAAGGACTGGGCCTTGCTATGGTTGGCGCCGCTCAGCTGCACGGACCGCTGCAGCGTGCTGCTGTTCGCCTTGCAAAGGCAAGTCTTTTTGACTGTGCCCTTTTTAGGGCTGTTTCCATGGAACGCCTCCAAAGGTCAACCAGGCACCCGGGAGGGGAAACCAAACAGATGAACCACTCAAACGGAAGCCACATGCTTGATCGCCCTGTTCGCGCTATCAACCTTGCACATGCTGACGTGCTACGTGCTACGGCAAGCATCTTGGATGCATCGAGCGGCTCGATGAGCTTCCGGCAGCGAAGTTGCTGACCTTCGCAAGCCAAATTCTTTGCCCAGGAGTCACAAGCAAAGCCGGGCAATCCGGCCCCTGAGGGCTCCTGTCCCTTTCACCTCCCTGACTCTCTACTTCACTTCCTCCCCACCTCCCTCTTCCCCAAGGCTCACTGCAAGAAACAAAATATTGTGTTTGTCCCCCCCCTCCTCCCCAAAAAATCAGAGAAAAAACCGCGGCAGTTGTTTGGGGGGAGCCAGTGGTGGATCTGGAACTCTTCTCGCCCATCTGACAGTGGGACGTGGCTCTTCCTGTTGAGCGTGGCTCACGCAACAAACCCTTACCCTTCTAGATGTTGTTTAACAGGCCGTGTCACTTTGCGGGAGGGCCACACAGGAGATTTGCGAATTTATCATTTACCTACATTGCCTGCGTGTGATGCGCATTGGCTAGCTTGGAAAAATGACGTCCGGCACCTAAAGTTCCTTGGCAAGGGATTGCATTTCTCCATGAGCCAGCCACATTCTCATAGGTTGGTTGGCTTTGTTTGAGCGCTAAGGTTGGAACAGGTGGGGTATGACACCAAGCATCCTTTAGGCTGTGGCCTTTGGAATCGTAGCAAGTTCCACGCCCCGTGCAGCAACAAGTCAGTCCCTGTGCGCGGAAGCTCGAGCCACATAGGTCTGGAAGGAAGCTAGCCCTTGCGCTACTTGCTTGTCACACTCTCCTTTAGCCTTTTATTTGATGGTTCTTTGAACGATGTTCGGCGCGGCGTTTCCAACCTACTCTTCCTAACACAAAGCGTTCCCGCAGAAAAATCCAGTGGGAGACTTGAATCGGAGACTCCAAAAAACCCACAGGTCAAGCAAAGCTCAGGTTGTCGGCCCGCTCACTTCCCCTACTAGCGGTCCCTCGAAAACAAGTTCTTAAAGAAACAAAATCGCCAATACTAAACTTAGAATAGGCCAAGTCGAAACCACTACCCAACCAATGAATTCCGCTGCTGACCCCAAGTAGGGTCTCTTATGAAGGAGCCCCCAGACCAGGGGAGCCTGTCTGGGGATTCAAAAGGACCAAACAGAGCCCGAAGAACGATGCGTGTAAATGCAACCATCGAATGCAAAGTCAAGAGCGCCTCGTACCTTCAGCACCTCTCTGCAGTAAGGAATGCTGCTCTTCACCAGCAGCATCCACAGCCGCGCAAGCAGCCCCACCTAATTTGTGACTGGCGGATGCTGGCTCAAAACCGTTGAAACCCAGTAGTAACGTGCACACAATCAACCAGTGCGCACAAGAAGCTTCCCGTGCAAAGTTCAGCGATTTTGAACCTCAAATTCGTCAGCGTGTCGTGGTGCTTTGTTGAACGCGTTGAGCAAATGACAAGGCGCTCTGACCTCGATCAAACGTGACAAACCTCGATCTGACCGCCTGCAACCCAAATGTGCCAAACAAATGTCGAAGCTACCTGCAGCCGCCAATGCCTGCTGGGACTGGACTTGGGGTTTTGGAAACGGGACAAAGCGGGCACTGGGCCTCTGGCTGCACTCAGCACTGCTCCTGACCAGCACTGCGGCCACCGCTGCATGGAAAACCTGGCGGAAAGCAGCGCGCTTGACATCCAAAGATGTGGCTGTGGGTCAAAACCAATGGGATCCCATTTTGGGGTAAGTGCACCACCCATTTTAGGACCTATTTTAGTGGAGATTGGGATGTTCACTGGGGGTACGATTTGGATTTTGACCCATGGCCCTGTGTTCCCGTGAAGGTTCTCTGTCTACAATTCTTCCTGCATGGTTGAGTGTTCGGTTCTATTTGCATTCGAGCTCCCCAATCACAAGCTCCGGCTCAAAGAGTAAGTTGTCAGGGTGATTCGTAGCAACGCAGGAAAACTTGGTTGAAAGGGAAACTGGGATCATGCTTCCAAATCCGGAGGCTATGTGGGTATGACTCACACGCCAAGCACGCGAACGCACGCGCCCACACACACAGTCCCAAGAAAGCCAATCAAAGGTCGAGCTATAGCGAAATCGAGTATCATGCATGCAAACCCAGCAAGGTGGAGTCAACGCGGCTTCCCTCTACAGGGATCCTTACATTGTACACCTGAACATTGCCTTGTTTTCATGGTGGTTTCCATTGATTTTGGTGTTGAAAAGCCATGTTTCAATTGGGCAAAATTTCAAAATGGAGATCTTTTAAGGAGCCCTGCTCTACTTGCAAAGGACTTTGCAGTTGATCAAACCCATTTCCAGACATCCAAAACTGTGCCCTGCGCCCCCTGTAGAAAGTTGTCCAGAGCGAGGCCCCAACAGAACACAACACACGCAAAACACACACACACACACACACCCACCCACACACACACACACACACACACCCTGACTCACGCGCACAACCAACACAACACGCACATCATGCTCATGACACACGCGCAGCACACATCACACACACACACACACACACCACACACACCACACACACACACACACCAAGGCTGCGCAGGCAAAATGTTTAAACGGTTTAGACGCCGCGGGCGCTCTACACGTTCAAGCACACGAAGGACAATGTTTAGACAACAAACTGAAGCAAATTGTTTAAAACACCCAAAACATGTTTAGACATGGCGGATGGTTAAACCCATTGACGATGTTAAAAAACGTCCGCGAACTTTTGAGAATGCAGGGAGTGTTCAAAAACTCAGCTGCGCCTGCTGGGGTCCACACAAACACCCGGAAACAATCATTGCATAGCCTCCTAAAACGCAGGCAAGTGGCCGGAATCCGTTTAAACACCCCAAACTGTTTGGGGGGGCTGCTTAAACACCCAGGAGGCGCTTAAGCACCCCAAAAACGCAGGCAGGGAACCGGTCGGCTCAAGCATGCTGAAACTGTGACTAGCTCCTCCTTGCACAAAACGCAGTGGCCTTCAAAATGCGTAAACGCACAAGTGTTTAAACATGAAGGGCTGGCCGAGCCTTGTTTTGATCACGTTTATGTTTACATGCAAAGTCGGTCTAAACGTGTTCAAAAGTGATTATGTTTCAACAATTTAAAGGATAAACACACACAAACACAAACACACAGACACACACGCACACGCACACGCACACGCACACGCGCACACGCGCACACGTGCACACGCGCACACGCGCACACGCGCACACGCACACCCGCACACCCGCACACGCGCACACGCGCACACGCGCACACGCGCACACGCGCACACGCGCACACGCGCACACGCGCACACGCGCACACGCACACACGCACGCACGCACGCACGCACCCACCCACCCACACACACACACACAATATACACGCACAACACACACAACACACACACACACACAACACACACACACACAACACACACACACACACAACACACACACACACGCACACACACACACACACACACACACGCAACCCAAAACACACGTTTCAGGATTCTGGGAAGTTCCTGAGGGTTCCAGGAGTTAATTCAGGTTCCCGACGGGTCCGCAGGATCCTGAACCTTCCAGCAGGCAGGGGCAACCCAAATTCAGTGGAAATTGAACAACCTATTCCTGTGGTATTTGAGTGAACAGCCGAAAACGGACGGGAACCGAACTCCCTCAACCCCAACCCTCAAGGCCTTGTCCTTGGCTTCTAGGCTTGTCCAGCGATATCCCCCCCAAAGCCCCCTCCTGTTCCATGAAACTTGGGATCTCCGGGCATGTTTTTCTCGCTGGTGCTCAGGGAATGAGGGAATGAACCGGAAGATTCCCTCACAGGAAACCAAATCTGCCCTGGAAAATCGAAACGCTGTGCTTGTGAGTGCCCAATTTTCGTTTTTTTCTTGGGTTCATTTTCTTGGGTTCATTCCATGTCTCATTCCCTGCATCTCTCGCGTTGATCGCAAGTTTTCTTCCACACGTGCCCAGCCTTGGCCATCGGCCTCAGTGCGTGGGCGGAAGCTGGGGCTTGCGAAAGTGATGTCCGAGCGATATGTCGGCCCAAACGAGCTCCATGTGCAGTCCCCAGGAAAACCTGAAATCGATTCCCTTCATAAAAAAAGACATGGGTTTTTTTGAAAAATAGGCTGAAGCTAATGGAAGACGATCAGCATAGCCTTGCACTGAGCAATGCCACAAGTTTAGTGTAAAAGGCTCACCGCAACTAATGCTGGACGGGATCCCATTTGCCGCTGGTATTGCTGTCAACAAGTTTGTTTCAAAGGTACTCGGCGCTGCGACTCGCAAAAGATTGCCAGCTGCCGCCTAAAAATAAAATATGGCCTTCACAACAAACAATACAAACACGTGCAATGGTGCTTGCTCCCTCATGGCGAGCTTTCTAGGCCATAGCCAGCAGGCTATGAATTCACGGCATCTAGGTCTGTCCAAAAAACATGATTTGTTGAGCATCTGCACTTGAAGAAGCAAACAGCTCCTCACTTGGTTTCCTGCCAGTTGCCAGTGTTGCCTGTTTTTGTTTCGCTCTCTCTCTCTCTCTCTCTCGCGCCGTCGAAAGTGTCGCGTGTTGCCTTTGCGAGCGCATCCTGTGTGAAAGCGGCAAAAAGCCCAGTTCTTTCCTTCCCTGCCCCAGCCGGCTATGTCACAATCTTAGGCCGCAGCATGGCAGGCAATCAGAATCGCTTTGGACCGAAAAGGCTACGGGCGCGATTCTTCATCGACACGCCTCAACGGCACTGGGTGTATATATGTAAAAACTGTTTATTGGGACTGGGTTTTGAGACAAAAACCGTTGTTCTTATTTTTTATTTTTATTTTATTTGATTTAAAAATTGAAAAAGAAAACCAGAAATGCAGCTGGCCTTGTGAAAGAATGGCTTTCAATCGCCGGATCACAGGTGCCAAGGCTCCTTTTTTTTTACACTGCGGGCGGCTGCGACACCGCGAAGCGAATCATAAACCCAAGCCACCGCATGCTTGGCATTCCAATGGCGCTGCAATAAATTGTTTGCAAAAGATGCAGTCTGCCAATTCTGCCAAAGAAGCCTGGCGCTAAATTGATCAAAGGAAACCTGGCTCTTTTCTCCATCTCTGCAAAGTGCAACGAGCGCACTTTTCACTATCCATCCATCTTCCGCCCTATGTTGTCAGTTGTCATAAGCTTCCAATATTATGCACTATCAAGGTCGCGGTGCTTGTTTGGCAAAATTGTGGCACACTACGCCGGCGTTCATTTAGCCATGTGCACTGTGTGACATTCCGCGCCAACCCAGGCGCGGTTGCAAGTGTCAGTCAGTGCACTGTTGCTCGTGACGCCAAGTCGCGTGGACAAAACCAGCGGCTGGTCATTGGCTGCTCAGACCAAGTTCCTTGGCGTGCGACTTTTTGCAGACTTTTGCTCTCCGAGCACTCTCCGAGCTGCGCGTTTTGAAGTGTTCAAAGCATCCAACAAGTTTGCTGAAAGTTTATCATGCAACGCTCCCTGCCTTTCGAGACAACGATTCCTAAGACCCAGGCGAAAGAGTGAAGGGGACAATTAATTCGGCTTTAGCGATTGATCCCTAGAAACTCTATCGTCAAGGTTGTCAGGGCATCAAACAAATGAGTGGGTGTGTCATTGCTTTGGCGGTTTCCCTTTAGCTTCCCTTTACTTCAAAAATGACATCTTCCCTCTGAGTGGTGTGCATTGGTGGCTTGGAGGGGTGTCCCATTGACCCTCTGCAAAAGCCAGGGCTTCAAATCCAAATCCAAACTACCGACTAAGCCTTACCTGAAAATGTACACCCCCCCCCCCAAAAAAAAAAGCAACCAAGAAAACACACACCACCAACTCATGGTTACCTGACACACAGGAACCCCCCTCCCCCCCAAAAAAAAAACCAAACACACCACCAACTCAGGGTGACCTGACATAAATACATGTACGCTCCCCCCAAAAAGAAAAACCACACTGCCCCCACCCCCAAACCTCAAAACCTCAAACTCAGTTGCCCCAAGGACCTGGAACTAAAAGGTGATCACCTTTTGGGGCCATGACGAAATATCGGAACCCAAAATGGTCGAACACCGAAATCGGTCGATCCGGTCGATCCGCTTTGAACTGAGCAACACCGAGGCAAACGTCTCCTGGATCCTGGGCCGCAGGGCCGGGCTGGGCCTGCGGCACCTGGCGAGTACCCCACCCCACCCCCGTTTTGGTGGGAACCAAGGGGCGTGACGTGACCCCCTACCAACAAACAGCACAAACAAACGGGGGTAAAAAACAAAAAAACAAAAACAACAACAGAAGACAAAACAGACGTTCGTAGGCCGACCCCTCAAAAACTATGTAGGGGACAGTTCTCAAGGTTCTTTGGTGAGAACCAACTGCGCAAGTTCCAATATGTCCAAAAACCTGAATTAAGAATTGATTCAAGAAGCGGATCCCCAAGTGAAGGACCTTTATCATGGTGAGCTCGTTGTGCCCCCGAATCGGTGAGCTCGCCATAAAATAGGCAGAACCATGCTCTAGGACACCCCCCATATGAAACCCATGGCAGTGCAATTACTTGGGGTCATCGTCAACAAACTTTCTGAAGCGTTGCCGTATGCTTGGTGAAATCCTGCCTGCTCTCGGCCAACTCCATCGAATCCTGCAAGTGCCACATGCCAATTCTTTCAAAACTGCTCAGCCATGCCAATCCCAAATGTCGAATGTTCCATTCCAAAAAGAACATGCAAATGCGACTGCATGTTGGCTCAGCAAAGCCTCTGAGGGAATAACAGCAGCAGCAGCTGCCGCTGTAGCTGCCTTTTCTCTGGCTCCATTTGCTGCCGTAATTCAAGCTGCAGGATTCGATGCATCCACAACAAAACGAACCTGTGATGTACACTGTCGTTGTAGCTCGCCTCAGCATCGGCGTCGTCCACCGCTAGAGAGTGTCAAACTCTCAAACCGTTTGAGGAGTTGGCGGTACCGAATCGACAGTGCCATGCGACGCGACACTTTCAGGGGAAAGCGTGCCACGCGCTGTCGCAGCACTGAGCTGTCGTCTATCCACTTGAGAAGCCGATGCCCCCCCACACACGTGAGCTTCATCCTCCATCAGCTCAGCCGCCGGAGGATCCGGGTCCTCCTTCTTCCGTCGCTTGGGCCGCGCCTCGCCGTCTTGCAACCGCTCGCCTGCCGAGCTGGCGAGCGGTTGCTCTGAAGACGTCGAAGCCTCGCCGCCCGACGTTCGCTCGACTCCGGTCGTTCGCTCGGCTCTCGCGGGTGCGAAGGACCCGAGGGCCCGGAGCGCCGTGGGATGGCATTCTTCCCAGCTCTCATATGAGCTGCCCTCAAGTTGAAAGTCAGGTCTCTTTGAGCCAACGGCAGCACGAACACAGTCTCAGACTCTCCCAGGGCCTTCTCAGCTTTCTTCCGTTGCCGCCGCTTCTTGTTGCCTCCTGAGCTGGGAAGGCGTGCTGGCTTTGTTCGGGGGACCCCACAGCTGTGGTTCTCCCTTTGATTTTCCTTTACGCGACCAAAGACACACACACACACCTCGCCAGGAACTTTAGCTGCTGATGGAAGCGGATCTGAGCCTCCCGCCCAAGTCCCAGTTCTGCCGCCTTCCTTTCGACCTCAACTTGGTCCATTTTCAACCCAAAAACTCGGGGGATTGCTTGTTCGGCCCCTCTGGAAATCCGGCCTGCTTACCAAATAGGGTACAGTCCAAAGGTCCCACCAAGTAGCCTGTTCCTTGATCATGCCCACGCAATGTAGGCAATACCATGGCAATGCCAACATTTGACCCATTCGGAGGGCAAATGTGGGTAAACATTAAGACACCGGACATTTACCACAAGGCCGGATGTTGACTGAGTTTCACAATCTGATTGCGCAGGCTCGGGCAGTGGCGTGCTCACCGTTGCTGACTCCGACCTGACATGGGCAAATCTTTATTTAACAAAAGCTGAAACAAATCCTCGGCATAGTGTCTCAAGTTCTCCCCCAAAGTACCAAACACCGTGTTGCAGAAATTCAAACATGGTCAGCCTCCCTCTACAAGAACCAAGGGTTGTTGGCATCGTGCGGTGGAGCATTGACACGTGAAAAACGGACAAAGGGATCGAATCCAAATCCGAACCACCGATCCAGACCACTCATCGGGTTGCCTGAAATGGGTTCGTCTCAGATTAGGGGACCCCTGAAATAGTTATTTCCTGTGCCTTCCAATCGAACACCTAAAACGGGTTCGCGGCTCAACAGCATGGCACCCAAGACGGAAAGCTCGGGCCTCTCAACAACCCGGGCCAGGTGCGCACTCCTAAGCATGGGTGCATCTAGAGCGATGCCACCAAAGCAGTCAAAATATCCTGATTTGTCTGTGGTCCATTTCAAAAGGACCTGGGAGAAGCACTTTTTCCCACACTGGAACAGACAGACACCCGTTCATGAGACAACTCTAAGGCAAGAAGTAAACTATGACACAAGTTGCACTGAACAAAATCAAATCGGATCAAGGCAAAGCTGAGAAAAGAGCACTCGAAAAGAGACACCGTCAATAAAAGAACAACAGCCTAACAAGGGCTGCTGGGGTAAAGCTAAACAACACAAACCCACGGCGAGGAGGGGTGAGGCTGTCACATCTTGAGAACCGCAAGGCCCTCTGCACCGCTAATTGAGGCGCCAGCACCTCGCATTCCTGACGGGTGAGAGGTATCTATCCGCTGTGCCCTCATTCCAAGTGTTCTCGAAGTTTTCCTTAGGGGTTCTTAGAGTTATGAGTACCCATTTAGAGGTGGGGTATTCCATTTGGCGGAGTTTCCTTAGGGGCTCTTAGAAGGGTGGTACCCTTGAGGGAGGTAGGCCATGGTCGGGGTGTCCTGTCTGTAAAGCTCTGCTTGGCCTATGGCCCTCGCCTCGCAGCTCTCGTCGTAGTCGTCCTGGCCCAGCACCGGTTCTATGCGCGCGTGTAATACATCTCCTACCTTTCAAGATTTGGACACGTCATGTTGCTGGTGTTTTTTTTTCTTCTTTTTCTGATGCTGTTCCTGTGCCTCTGTGATGTAGCTGTGGTTGACACTGTGCTGGCATTGGTGGCGGTGGTAGTAGCGTAATCGTAGTTGCGTCGGTAGTCGTAGTGGTGCGCGTTACTCCTGTATACTCTTGTTGTTGCTGCCGCTGCCTTGTTGGCAGCCGTCCAAAACCGGCTGTTGGTTGTCGGTCGTCCGCCCGCGAGCGTCCGTTTTGCGAGTGTTCGTTTGTGTTGATGTATGCCTTTCCGCGTTGCGTGCGCAACTTGTAGTTGTCGTAGTTGCGAAAAGGATGCAGTTGTGGCTAGAATTGCCGGACCTGGTTTCTGATGTCTGCACGAGACACAGCTTCTCACAACCAGAAATCTGCCAAGTCCCACCCGGCCTGGATGGCCCCGCAAGCGTTGCAACTCTGCACGCCGTCCTACACTGCTCACACTTGCGGCCCCCCTGTCCGCTTCCATAACCCTTTCAATCTTTTGGAATATGATTTGAGCAAATTATGCCAACCTCACCTTGGCTCCGAACGCAAGGCTCACACGAATGAGCCTAAGGCCCCGGCCCACCACTTCTCCGCCGTGCGCTCCAGCATGCCAAGTTGCTGCTTGAAGCAGTACGTCTGGCTTAGGCTGAAAAAAACGTTCGTTGAATCCCTGAGCAAGACAAGGCTGAAACACTATTTGCCTATGTTTCTGGAGTGGGGGAGGCGTCGAGGAAACCAGCAAGTGCAACGACATTCACGCGCGCCTAAAGGCGGAAAATAGCAGCGTGCTTCTTATGGCGCAAAGGCTGGGAGGCACTGAGGTTTTTTTTTGCAAAGCAGTCTAAGCACCTTGGAATGTTGCAAGCATTCAGCGCGCACAAACTTGGCACGCCGCTTCTTGGCCAGGTGTTGCGCTCGAGAAAAAGCAAAACACGAGCTCCTGCGCTAGAAAGTATAGGGCGGGGCGTCAGCCTGCCCATCTCAGTTGCGCCACCACCTGCGCGTAGGAGCAAGAAAAAGCGCAGCCCGAGGAAACACGCCCCCTGAAGGAACAAGAGGTCCTGACAAAACCAGGGGCGATGCCAGCTGCTAACGCGATCCTGGCAACCAAAGTGCTATTCAGAGGGGTGATGCTCTTGCGGCTCGACGCTCCCAGCTCCGTAGCGCAGGTGGCGACGGTAGCGCTGGCGCTCCTTTTGCGCGACCCAAGGCGTGTACCCAGAAGCGCTACAGAACGGGTCACGATTTGTTGCACTTTGGGAGCTTTGTTTTGACACCCCTCTCCCTCTCTCCCTCTCTCCCTCTCTCCCTCTCTCCCTCTCTCCCTCTCTCCCTCTCTTCCTCTCTCCCTCTCTCCCTCTCTTCCTCTCTTCCTCTCTTCCTCTCTCCCTCTCTCCCTCTCTCCCTCTCTCCCTCTCTCTCTCTCTCTCTCTCTCTCGCTCTCCCTCTCTCTCTCTCTCTCCCTCTCTCTCTCTCTGTCTTTCTTTTCTTTTCTTTTCTTTTCTTTCTCTGTGTCCCTTTCTCTTTCTCCGTTCCCCCTTCTCCCTTTTCTCTTTCTTTTCCGCTCTCCAGCCCGGCCTCAGCCACGAAACCCCAGCAACCAAGCCCAGCCTCATCTTCGCTGAACACGGCGCTTTCCTTTAGCTCCTTGCGCGCGGCTCTTGCAAAAGTTGGGTTAAAGTTCCTTGCTCGGCTTGCTTCTGAAGCTTCTCATCCACGCCAGAGCTTCTGAGTTTAGCTTCTGACGCTTCCCATTCCACTGACGCTCTGCGGCCCTGAGACAATCCACCAGACGCGCTCCTTCTCGCTGCGCTTGGCCGCGTGGGCCCGCTCCTGCAGCGGCTTCGCTGGAAACTTAGCTCGGGAGCTTTGTGGTGTTGAGCTGCAAGTATGGTGGCGCGCTGGCAAGTTTGGCTCCAGCCAGCCTGGTGGTCGGAAGCAGGACGGCCAATTGTTCTCTCACCGCCTCGCGCTGGCAAGCGGTTCGAAACGGAACTGGCACCATCTGTTTTCAATTAACCCTGCGCGAAACCAAAAAGGTCGCGAAACTAGGATTTAGTCTGGGTGTAGGGGCTCGTAAAATACTCTTGGCGGGTTGGGGGGCCGAACCTACACCCCTAGAACAAGCCTCAAGGGAAAAGCGTTTTTCCAAACTTGTACACCTTGCCAGTAGAGCCGGCCCTTTTGAAGTTTCAAACGTATACGCGGAAAAGTGATCGTTCCTCTTCTCCTCTTTTTCTTTCTCTTGTTGCTCTTGCTCTTGTGTTTTTATTTAATTATTTATTGTCTTTCCTTTCTTCTTTCTGTTTCTGTTCTTCCTTCTCTCTATCTATCTGCCTACCTATCTGGCTGTCTGTCTAGCTAGGTGCCGACTATCCCTCTAGATCTCTACTTCCCCCTGTCTCTATCCCCCGCATCCCGTGCGCAAAGCTACCTTCAAGTATAGTGTCCGGAACAGGTGTTCCTTCTGCTGATATTCCCCCCGATCCTCCCGCCGCCCACCCCGAAGGTGGCAGGAATAGCACGCGGCTTGCCATTCTTCGCCTGGAATTCAAAACAAAACGGAGGTCCACCTCTTTACTTGTTGACCTTGGCCATCGCCAGGTCGTTACGACAAAGCACGGGGCGGCGCAGCTCAACATCACGACTGTGGAGGCCAGCCTTCTCGTGCACTCGTGCAGCGCGAGAGCGTCATCTTTCACCTCCTGCACAGCGACCAACCCAAATCCCACGCGCGCAAAACTGCAGTTGGGCGTGTGCTTCTGGTTTTTGGGCACCCCCCAAAAAAGTCGTGTTTTTCCTTTTCGTTTTCCGCTTCCCACGCAAACCGCAAAAAAATCCTGGCTTGCGCTCTGCGCCACCGCCTGAAAAAGGGCACCTTCGAAAAATGCCGTCCATTTGGCGGCTTGGCCGTTTCGAAGCTGGCAGGACCCAAATTTCAAGGCTGAACGAGCCTCACTCAAACAAGGCAGCAAGTAGACAGCTTGTTTCGCGCTTCAATCGTCTGTTGCAAAATTGACCGGCCCGCCTTCTGACATCTTGCGATGTCGTCAACCGCTTCTGAGGCTTCTCATCCACATCTCAGCTTCTGAGTTCACGGGAGCTTCTGAAGCTTCTCACGCACTGATGCTCGGCTTCTGTGAGATCTGTGGCTGGGAAGCTATATCCCCAACCGAATTGACGCACAAACTGAAATTTCGCCCAGCGAAATAGCATGAATCTAAGACGCCCTCTCCCAGCTGCGCAATACGGACACGACAAGTGACAAAGGAGGGGGACTCCACATCAAGCTCGTGAGTCCATCTTGGCAAGCCGCAGGTAACTGCTTCTTTTTGCCGGAGTTGCGTTGACAATTTCCCAAGCATGGCTGCAGCTTTTTCCACACGTTCAACCGAATTCCAAAAAGAAACAGCACCAGGACAGCTTGAATTCAAGGCAACCGCCCTCAGACGCCTGACGGTCAGCTCGAAGTGAAGTTGGTCGGTTGCCTACTGTCGACGAACCCATTCCGCACCACCTAACACCCGGATTTCTGCTGATTCCCCTGTAAATACCACCAAGCAATGGCTTCAACCGGGGTGTCTTAGGTGGTGCAGAAGGATTTCGTCCATCCGCAGTATGAGGCGACTCGGTTCAGGCCAGAGCTGTGGCCCATCCATCCACAATGGGGCGACTAACGCCGCGCTAACGTCGTGCTGCCGCCATCTTCAAAGTCGAGCTTTCTCGGAATGGGGTTACGGGGCAGGGAAGGCTCGCTTCCAATCAAAGCTGAGTATTGCAGTTCTGCGTTTGATATGATACCATGCCAAGTGAGTCACAATCAAACCCCGGTGAAAAAATGCCTAACTATAAAGCGGCCACACCCAGCTCAATAATTATGTGGGATTGTCCCTAACCACCCTAGTGTCGGTTGTGACTCAAGTGATGCATGAACACGCCGCGCGGCCCAAAGCCGTGTGGTCGCATGCACCCCCATCTCCTTGCGCCCGAGCAAAACAGGTCCTGCGCAGCGAGAAGCCATTCTGCCACAGCCAATGCCACCATACCTCAGACTGGGAGGCGCTGAGAAACAGCGTGCATATTTGACATGCACCATCAAAAGGCAAGGGGCCTTCAATCAACTTTTTGCTGTTCTTCATTTGCCACTGTTGAGCCAACCAGCCATCCAACCGCCCAGTTGGCCAGCCAACCCGCCAACCCGCCAACCCGCCAACACCCACTAACCCACCTGCCAAAGGCTCTCGAGCCCTGAAACGCATGAGAAAAAAACGCAAACCTTTCGCCTCCACATCGCTAGCACAAAACTGGGTGGACACCAAACAACTTCTCTCTAGGCATATCCCAGTCCCAAATTAGGAGCACTCTGGGCCGAGGAAACTCAGCCACTACTTTCACAACTACCCATCTTGTTGACCCCATATTAATCAACCCCAGCTACTTCATGGGTGGGGGAAAAGCCCTCCAGAAGTGATGATATCCCGCTACCCCCAGAAACACCCCCTATTGACAAACTGGGGTTGGTTAATATGGGGTCAACATTGTTCGGGCACGCCTCCATTGGTGGTATGCATGGTTTGCGGGTTTCAACCCCCATTTTCGTTGAACGCCAAATTTTGGGACCCCCAAACAAAATCCAAACCGCCCACCCCAACCTAACAGGGTAAGGTGAGTTGTGGACAAAAAAGCACAAATAATAATAAGAATAATAGCAACAACATATTAACAAAAACAACACTTGCCGAATTCTGCCCAGGCACCTGGCGGATCCCTTTTGTCAAATTGCTTCTTCAGCTGCTGGTGCGCCTCCGTGGGCGGCATGTTCAGGTACCACCTGCGCGTTCTTGCTTTTTTTTTGGCTTCCCCCCCTGAAATTGGCTGCGACGTCGAATTCGTGGAGCTTGGTTCAACCAAAGGTTGGCAGAGCCCAAGGCCGTAACATGCTGTGTGTGGCAACCTGCTATGGCCGAGCCGTTGCTTGCAAGCATTGCGATCGTCCAACATGTCTGGCCGAATTGCAGCTACTCGCGCCGGCGTCCTGCACTTTAGCATCACCGTTTTTTCTTCCTTTTTGTTTGGTGCTGGGGGGGCATACAATAGTCTAGCGTCATAGCTGGTGCCCCCCCTCCTGCTTGACCATGCTTGACTTCTTCAGCTGTTCTGGGAAGGCACTATACTTATTATTCTTTTGGCGACATCTATCTGGCACCTCAAAAAAAAAACACGGGTTTCTGGTTCGAGTCCCCGACCAAAAACACCTAGAAACGCTCTGGTGTCCTGCCCGTGGTTTCACACAAAACCCGTGGTACGAGGCTCGCGGAGTTCGCTCGCCCGAGGCCATCACCAGGGCTGCAGCCACAAGCCGCTAAAGTGAAACCTGAAGCTGCGCGCGTCTCGAAATCGGGGGGAATTGGTGCCCTCAGATGGTGGGGGCTCCTTTTGGATCTTCCTGAAATATCAAAAAGGGGAAAAACGTGGACCACTCGCACCGATGTTCTGCTTTTGGGTCGCACCAACAGGGGGTCCGCCATTGGGAGAAAGGCTTGGACCATCTGATTTGCCGATTTTCTGCGTTTGGGTCCCATCTTTCGGTTTTTGGCGCCCCTTAAATCTCCGGGTAGGCACATGGACTTCAGGGCGCGATCGATCTCCAGTGAGGCCCTGGCATCCCCACGGATCGCAGCTGCTCCTCTCAGGTCTGAAGCCACCCCTTCCGAGGGAAGCTGAGCTTTTTGGAAACCAAAAAGGACGATGGTCATCTTGAGGGTAGATGGAACATGAACAATCCCAACCACCAATCCAACCTTGCAGTTAGATAATTGGAGGGAAGCTGACCGTCTGGCTCAAATTTTGAGCCTGATTTCGCTTTGCCAACCCAAAACAACCAGCCAGCAATCAAACATCCACAAGGCAGTCCTGGGTCTCGCATAGCTCAAACCAGTCACGTGGCAGCTCAGCCTTGATTACCTCGCGACATTTCCTGGCAGGCAGCTGGACTCATTCTGGATGCGACATGGCACACATGAGCTGTGCGGAAATAGTTCTTCGCGAACTCGACTTATTTGTCACAAACTCACCATTTCAAACAGTTGTAGCTTCCATGAGCCAGCGCGGCTAGCCCAAATTCTGGGCAAGGCAGTGGCGCGCTTGTCTCCCAAACAAAGATACGCGGTCTGATATCCAAAATCTAAAAGCTCGTACTGGCCGGTGATCGCGATCAAATGCGCCAAGAAAAAGTGGAGGCGCATGGGTGTTTCTCCAAAGGGATCAAAGCCTCCAGGTGGTTGAGTTCCTTGTTTCCCTTTAAAACTCTCGCTTTAGAGGGTCCGTATTTTGCCACCACGTCCTTCCAGAACTCTAATCGGTAGCTCCATGTAGCTCCGAAAGGCTCCCTCTTCAAAAGCAAATTTGTATACCCAGCAGCTCCGAGCCCGGCTCCTAAAACCCCCGATTTCATCGGAAACCCAACCCCCCTCCAAAAAAAGAAGGAAACCCAACCCCCCCCCAAAAAAACAAATAATCAAAAAAATCAAACAACAACCAAAAAACGCGGAGCGGAGGCACCTGGCGCGAGATTTTCCGCTGGCGAGCTGAGGATCTGAGGAGCTGAGGCCAGGACTCCAGCTTGCTGTTCCCCTTGTGCCGCTCCACTACGGACCACCGGGGATTCACCTGCATCGCTGGCGCATCGCTGGCGCATCGCTCGGGCGACCAGCGGGTTCCACATGCCACCGGTCACCGGCTCACGCGCTGATCTCATCGGCGCGCTCAAATTTTCGTTCGAATGGAGGGTGGAACCGGGGGGGGCAATCTGCTGGAATATGGGTCTGCCGTTTTTGAGGGTATCCCCTGTTTTGGTGGCTTTTTTGGGAAGCCAAAAGGAAAACTGAACCCTAGGAAACGACACACCCATATCGTGAGAGCTGAGGCTGGGCCTTGCCCAGCCCGCCTCACAGTTCCACGCGACTTTGATGTGGTGCCAATTCGGGATCTGCTTCACCAAGAAATACCTGGGCTCTGGGCGCTGACTGGCCTCCTTGTACCAAAGTCCGATGTCGTAAGTCCAAGTGCGAGCAACAAAAACCACCTGGTCCTTGGCCCATGCTGAAGCGTCCTGGAAACCTGTGATAGATTCCCTTTCAAACTGACAGGGTTGCTTTTCTCAAAAACAAATGAGCCAGAAAAAAAAGAGTAGTAACACTCTTATCCGTTGGTTTTCATTGCAAATCTAAGCGGCGGTCTTCATACGCATGAGAAGTTGCCGATGCGCAAACAAAACAATCTCCGGCAGTCTGAGCCCTCGGCTGCTCGGGCAAGTACGACTGGTCGTCCTCCTTCAGCTTTGCCACCTCACGGAGGAAAGCAACCTTGGGGTATGCTTGCGGCTTTTTGCGAGGCTACCCTCCCACCAGCTAACATGGGCTGGTGCTCAGACACCTGCAGAAAGACGACTTTCCTCTTGGAAAGGGCCTTTCTGCACTTCCATGTTAGTTGGTGGGAGGCTACAACTTCTTCGGGTGTCCAAATATTTTAGGCACGCATGGACAAAAATGGCTTGGCGCGCAGCAACGCTGCTCTGAGCCCTTTTTCTGTCACGGCAGACCTTGACACCCAGAACGTGCATTCAAGGTGCATGGTCATGCTCCTTGGAAACTGTCCGCTTGCACTTTCAGCGCAGCTCTCGAATAAATTTCGATCACACTCTGCATTGTACTCAAGTGGGGCGGGCACATGCTGCCCATCATCCTGAGCAAGCGCAAATGAAACTTCACAGCGGGCCACACATTACTTCGCTTCTCTTGGGAACACGGCAAGTCACAACCATTATATGCACCCTGTTGCCATCCCTAAGCCTGCCTATTGAACTGCACTGACAGGATGGGGGCCTTAAAAAAAACAAAAACAAAAACAGGGTCCCCCCCATCAAACAATGCGCTGGCAGCATTATGCCTTTCCACCCGTCAATCAAGCCGCAGCATCCTTCGCATTCCATCCATCATGGGCAGGGGATGGACTCTCGGGTGACGTCACTTGCTTGCCTCGGTGCATGGGGAGTCGTGGACACCAAACCTCCAAGTGCGCATAGGTCTGTCTTTTTTTGGGGTACCCTTTTTGGAATGGTTTTAAAAGGGAAGTCACAAGGAAAACCACCATTTTGAGGGTCCCCTAAAAACGACACACACACACACACAAACATTCCACTGTTTTGAACACAGGCAATGAAGCAAGAGAGATCATCTTGATTGATTCAACTTCTAGCCTGCCTGCCTGAACATTGGGGAAGGGGTCCAGGGGCCATTAGTTCTTTTTGGGGGATTTGTTTTTGTTTCGTTTTCACTTTTGGCGCTAAAACATGCTGTTGTTTACAGCATATTCAAGCAACATGCCTCTCGTCAACATCCCGACATCGTCTTACAATCCCCAGCATCGTTCTCAACACACCAGTTAGCTTTGGCTTAGGCTGGTTCAGATTCGCTTCGGGCGGGTTCCGGGTGGGTGCCAGGCTTGTTTAGGCGGGATTGGTTGGCTTGGGCTTGTATATGGGTGCAGGTTTAGTGTTGGTTTGGTTTGTTGGGGTAGGGGCCAGTTGGTATGGGGTTTGCTTAGGGTTTGTTAGGGTTAGTTTAGGATGAATTTAGTTTTTGGTTTAGTGCTGGTTTAGGGTGGGTTTAGATTTTTGGGCTTGTTTGGTGCGTGTTTAGGGTTGGTTTAGGGCGGAGTTAAGATGAGTTTTAGGATTGGCTTAGGGTGGTTTTAAAGTGGGTGGGGGTTTAGGGTTGGTTTAGGGTAGGTATAGAGTTGGTTGTTGATTTAGTGTGGGATTGTTTAGGGCTTAGGTTTGGCTTGAGGTTGGTTCTAGATTCAGTGGCGGTTCAGGGTGGTGGCTTGGGGTTGGTTTAGGGCCCAAACGTGGGTTTAGGGTGGGCGTTGGATTCTTTAGGTTCGTTCAGGCGTTTGGGCTTGTCTTTCTAAGGTCTTCATAAAGCCGAACAAGGGCCCCATAAAGAAGCGCCCCAGTGCAAAGCAAATAAAGACACTGGCGGAGCGAGATTACAAGCAAGGATCACACTGCCAAACACCGGCCCCATTCAAAAAGGGGGGACTGCGCCCCTCAGTAGGAAGGAAATATAGACAAAAATATCGAGAAAGTGCGCGTTTACAAACACGGATTGCAAAGCCGAACAACGGCCGTCGGGGTTGGGGGCGCGCACACCCCCAACAGAAAACACTTACGGACACTACTGAATAAAGTACACGACTACAAACAAGGTGCTCTAACAGGAACCTGGGAGCCAAGAAAAGTAAACAAAAAAAGACCCCTGAAACAAATTGCCCTCCTCACTCTCCGAACTTGCCACATCCAAGACACACGTCCTCTCGCTCGCAAAGCTTGGGGATGACGCTTGGTGGCATCAGGGCTTCCGCCATGTTGGCCCCTTTAAGATTCTTGGCCTTCAAGATGGTATCTGTGAAGTAGGCGCCTTCCAAATTTGCCTAAGCTCGGCAAACCCCTTGAGCCATGCATGAACCAGCCAAGCGCCTGTGTCAAAATGGGATTCTCGTGGTTTGCAAAACTCCCACGAAACCAACCAACCCTGACCAGTCCTAAACAAACTCCCTGGCCCGAAACAACCCAAGGTCAACTCAAACCAAAACCCAACCTGTGGGATGATGTGGGAAGCCCCTATCAGTTTAGGGCATGCGCAACGCCACTTGCAAAACAAACAGCCT